GAAGAGGGAGGTGGGGACACCTTGGGAGCGTTTTTGGAGGTGGCAGGGCTCTGTGTGGGCTCTGCTGACTGCATAAATCCTTGTGGGAATCTCTCAGGGCATGGTGTGTGCCAGAGATAAATATTACAATAGCAGGCTTAGAGGAAAATGGATTCAGACAGCCAGGAGAGCCCGAAGAAGGAGCAGGGTTGGGCACAAAGTCCTGCTGCTAAACACCCTCAGGAGGAGCTCTCTTAGCTGGGGTAGGAGACTGGAAGGTGACCAGTCTGCCCTGCAGAGATTCCAGCAGCACACAGCACTGGCTGTTTCTTCCCTGGCTCCAAAACTCCCAGCTCCAAGGCACAGCTGTCCAGCAGTCCTGTTTGAATGTGCCACACTCAGCCCTGCCCAAAAATTGGTGTTTTCCTCCTCCCCGAGGGGCTGCAGGACACAGAACAGAAACAACCAGGCTGACAAGCCCATGTGCACACCCAGCTCACCTGACCACCTGAAAACAAGGGGTTTGGTCCTTCTCCAGAGAAAAAGCCAGCAGGAAAGCCATCATTTCCCAGCGTGGCTTTCTGGGACAGCTTTTAAACAGATCTCAAGAACCAGCAAATAACTTTTGGACACTGACACTGCTGAGATTTTATGACAGCCCATGAAGTGGCTCACCTTAATGGGTACTTCTCACCAGGGTCCCTGCCCAGGTGGAAGAGCAGGGGCAGGTAGGTGTGCTCCTCCTGGGTGTGGGTGGTCACTCCAGCCACGCTCTGGCCAGGACAGAAATCGATGCCCTGCAGCAAAAAGGAGAGAGGTCACCAAAGGTGATGTAGGGCAGGCAGCAAAACTTGACTTGATGCCACTTTCTGCAGCAAAACAAACCTCAGGATTATTTTAAACCAAGAGTCCACTTCAATCTCCAAAACACATTCTGAGCTGGTGGGGTAAATTAGGGTGAGCAAGTGGTGTTGCACTGACATAGGAGCTGAAGCAAGGCCGTGCATTCTTGTCTTATAAAAATATAATCCCAATAAAATATTCATTAAAATGAAATGGCAGAACAAAAGACAAAGAGGTGGAAGCATTTAATCATAAAAATTCTGCACATGGAAAGGATTTTCTGGCTGGTTTTTCTGGCTTTGGAAGGCTCCAGGAAGAGGGGATTGGGGGATTGCTTGACACTCCTGATCGAAACCAAAACCCTAGGAGAGACATCCAGACACCTTGAGAGACAGCAGGCACCTGAAAACTCCCCTGGCAGCACCTGAGGGATCAGTTTCTCTGAGAAATGAAGGAAAACTGGTTAATTTTATAAAAATTGGTTGTGTTTTCAATTTGATTCATGGCGAGCTGGTATTGAGGGACTCACCTGGGCATGCCAGTGGGGAAGGGAGTTCTGCAGGAAGGGGAGACATTCCCACATTCCTGTCTCTGAGCATCTGTGGGGGCACGGGGTGCCATTCTCCCTGCAGCAGCATGGCTTTGAAGGGCACAGCTACTGGCAATGTCCTGGGGAAGCAGCTGGGAGCAGCAAGGGGTTAATGCCAGCTCCATCTGCCCCCCTCCCTCCCTCCCTCCCCAGCCCTGATTTACCAGCTGGGAGCTCCCTAATCCCTGGCCTTGGCCTCCAGGGCCACCAGAGCCCATTTAAACCCCTGCAAGAGCCAAAAATGCAAAAGCACTCATTTCCCTGGGCAGAAAATAAAGCAGGCCCCCCAGCCCAGGCCAGGCCAGCCCAGGCAGGCCTGGCCCCAAATGGACTTGTTAAAGCTGGGTTTTACAATTCCAGCTCCCACGCTGTTCCTCACAATCCCAAAGTGCCCCCAGACACGGACAGAGACATGGAGAGCAGGTAAATGGGAATGGTTCCATGGGAGTGGGAAAGCAGCTGTAGCATTTGCTTATAAAACAAACTGAAAAGGCTCTCTACAGATGTTGGTAGGATTTGATTGGCAAACAATTTTCTAAAAATATCCCGTGTTTTTAATGGACAGCTGGTCAGTGGAGCAGTTAATATTCTGCTTTTCAATAAAGCAAGAAGTTTAGAAGCCCATGAAATCCCATTTATCTGCACAGGGCTATAGATTCCTGAATCACTGACTGGAAAAATAAGGGAGTTGCTCGATAGGTTGGAGTGGCCCTACCAATAATGGACTTTAAATGGATACAAAACTGATTGACCTTCCCACCCTGTGATGCCACAGGCCTCTGAAACACACAGGGAAAAGAGATTTTTGTGGGCTTTTTTCCCCACAAAAGGACCAGTTAATGAAAAGGTATCGAAGCCTCCATAACATCCAAATTATAATTTGGATGCAAATCAAACAAGCAATTTAATTAAGAGCCTGCTAATTGGTACAATGCTCCTCGGCTGCAAATGCTTCAGTGTGAAAGATTTTCCTCTCTCGGGTGTTTGTTTAGACATTGTTCTGTTTCTATTTTATCTTGTGTTTCCCAGGAAATCCTTGTAGCCCAGACTCCAAAACACAATCCCAAAGATTCCCAGGAAAGGAAATGCTGGGACAATTTGCCTGATGCCACCAGCCCAAAGCCACCTGTCATTCTAATTTAAGCACTCAGTGCCCTCTTGAAAAGCTGGCTACTGGAGAAAAGTCAAATAAATAAATAGGTAAGTAAATACAACCCCAAGAATAGAAATTTAGGACGTTTCTAAGGCATTCCAACTTTATACCTGCAAATAAAATGGAATATTGCTATTTTTATCTACTCTGTGAGTCAATATTCAACCTGCAGAGAGAGCTTCAAAGATTTTCTACTATCTACTCATCAACAAATTAGTAAAAATAGATATAAATATATAAAATTCAATATTATTTATTTTTGTATAGGTAGGTTTGGTGATGTTTAGAGCTGAGAAGAGCCAAGAGCTGCCTAAGCCTGTCCTACCCAGCAGGGTAACACCACCCAGTCCCACTCTCCTGTTATCCCTAAAAGCTGTTTATTGTCAGACTGTCCACAGCAATATGCAGGGATCAATAATTTAAGCACATTCCTGATTTCTGTCCCTGCTCCCTGTCCAAGGTAGTGGTGGAGTCCCCATCCCTGCATCCAGGGAAGGAGTGGATGTGGCTCAGTGCTCACACCTGGGGACTGTCCCAGGATGGACTCCATGACCCTGGAGAGCTTTTCCAGCCTCCAGGGCTCTGGGGCTTGCAGGGCTCACTGATCACACACAGCACAAAGGCCACTCCCTGTGTTTCAGCAAACTCTTGGGGCTTTTCTGCTGCACCACAAAAGCCTGAAAGTCAAACCAGCAGCTCCTGTCTGGAGCATCTCCTGCCTTCTAAGGGAGCCCACACAGCATCAAGAGCAGCTCAGCTCACTGCTCTTACAGTGTTCTGCACCTGTTTGCTGCAGGAGAGAGTCCAACAATCATTTCCTTCCATTATTTTGATTAAAACACGGCATTCCCTGCCCACCAGGTGAGGCTCCCAGCGAGCACCACCCCTGTCCTGCTCAGCAATCACACAGCCCGGGCTGTTTTTCCACCCCTGGCATGCAGCAGCCTTTGGTTGCACAGCTTTAATTTCCAGAGCAAATGGCCCACAGATGCTGTGTCAATATAGACATGAGACAAACACAGCCGCTTGCCAGTTTGGGCTCCCTGCCAAGAGATGGAATCACCACTTGTGTTAACAGGAGCCCTCTGGCAATTCCTCAGCCTGGCACCAGCCCAGCTCAGGCTGGCAGGAGCAGGAGCCACCCCAGCCCAGCTCTGCCTCCTGCTCCCCCAGCACCACCCAGGGCACCAAAAGCAGCTGAACACTGCAAGGAGAAAAGCCCAGCTGCCAATTAAAACCTGGAATGTCACCTCTTCTTGTTTGCCACAGCACAGGTGCCCTTGGCCTCCTGGCCATTCCTGGTGAAATCCTCCTTGGGATGAGCAAGGGGGTGCCAGGCTTCAACCCCCTGCACCCAAAATTGCTTCTGACATGTTAAGAGGCTGGAAGAGTACCAGATATGGGCAGCCCAAGGAGATGGGCAGCCCCCAGAGATGATGGGCAGCCCCAGGGATGATGGGCAGCCCCCAGGGATGATGGGCAGCCCCCAGGGATGATGGGCAGCCCCCAGGGATGATGGGTAGCCCCCAGAGATGATGGGCAGCCCCAGGGATGATGGGCAGCCCCCAGAGATGATGGGCAGCCCCCAGGGATGATGGGCAGCCCCCAGGGATGATGACATCCCCCCAGAGATGATGATATCCCCTCAGAGATGATGGGCAGTCCCAGGGATGATGGGCAGCCCCCAAGGATGATGACATCCCCCCAGGGATGATGGGCAGCCCCCAGGGATGATGACATTGCTCCAGAGATGATGACATTCCTCCAGAGATGATGGGCAGCCCCAGAGATGATGGGCAGCCCCCAGAGATGATGGGCAGCCCCAGGGATGATGGGCAGCCCCCAGGGATGATGACATCCCCCCAGGGATGATGACATCCCCCCAGGGATGATGACATCCCCCCAGAGATGATGGGCAGCCCCAGGGATGATGACATCCCCCCAGAGATGATGACATCCCCCCAGAGATGATGGGCAGCCCCAGGGATGATGGGCAGCCCCCAGGGATGATGGGCAGCCCCAGAGATGACAGCCCCCCAGAGATGATGGGCAGCCCCCAGAGATGATGGGCAGCCCCGGGATGGGCAGCACAGCGAGCTCCGATCGATGCCTGGTTCATATGCTTAGAGAACCAAAATCAAATGTCATTATTTGTGAGGTTCTACTTGACTTCACATCCCCGGCTCAGAAAAGGCTTTATCGATCCCTCCACGTGCGGGAGAAGGGCAATCGCAGAGCCTGACTGGAATAACCCCTCTGGCATTTCGCATTAAAACAATAGCGGCGCCTCCACGCAGCCTTTAAAGCCACAGGAGCACTCGAGGAATCCCACTGAAGGCTCCAAACAAGCTGACAGCACAAAGGTTGATGTTATCAGCCCCTCTCCCACAACCAAAGGGCGTTTTCCACGTTTTTTCCTTCATTATTTTTTCCCCCTTCTTGCATCAGTGCTCTTGGGAGGTACAAGGGCTGTTTTGTGCTGGATGCTTTTGGTGGGAGGCAGAGAAAAGGAAATTTCCTTTCTCCTGCTACCTCCCATTCCTGCCTCCTCTATGCACCACTAAATTAGGAAATTCCTGAGGACTTGCTGCCTACTCTGGTAAATTTATAGAAAACATTCATTTTTTACCCTTTCAAAAAACCCCAGCATTTGACAGGTGACTGCCAGTAAAAGTCATTTCACTGTCCAAGAGGGATCTCCCCAGGTTTATCCTCAGTTCTCCCTTTGCTCCTGCACACGTGGCAATTTTTATCACTGCTGATTTTTGCTACAAGAAAAAAAAAAAAAAAAGGTGAACAGCAATGGAAAAGCTTGAGATCCACCAGTCCTGGAGCAGCAGGGACTCAGCCCGTGTGCAGGAGGAGATTTTCCTGCCTTTATCAAACTGTTTAAAAATACACATTTTTCAAGTCAGGCTTCCTTTCATCTCCCTCTGTCCCATTTATCACCTCTTGAATGTCAGAGATGTCAAATTATGTAAACATGAGCCACCTATATAGATGGAAGGCAGGTAAACGGCTCCAAATAAGCATCCTGTGCAATCCTCAGGGAAAATGTCCCACAAAATGCTTACTCCCACTCCATTCTGTGGAGTGAGCCCCTCCTTTATGCCTTCACGAGACCACCCCCTCAAGAATCAAGAAATCCAGTTAATCCAGCAGCAAAGGCAGCATCGAGGTATCCTCCAGCACTGAGAGAGACTACAAGACTTCCTGACAGGAGTCAGACTAGAAAAAAAAAAAATTGCTTGGGGGTTAAAAAATAAACAAACAAAAGCTGGGAAGAACAGAAGAGCACAATTCATCTGTGTGTCAGATGACAAGCCCTAATCCCAGGCCATAAGGCAGAGGATGCAGACCAGTTGCTGCCATGGGACTGGAGGATGACAGCAGAGCTGTGTGCTGCTTGCACGGGATGTTTCCAGAGTCAATATTCCGAGTGCCAGATGGAGAGGAGCCTTCAGAGCCCTGTTCTGCTTTGCTAGGCTCTGCTTTCTGCAGGCTGTGCCTCCCTGGTACATTTTTATTTGTGTGTACATCCTTTATTGCTGAACCAACTCACACCCCAGCCAAACACAGCTTTGCAGGTGAGGGGCCACATCCTCCCTCACCATCCTGGTCACCCCAAACAGGCCCAGGACAGGCACCAGCTCCCCATTTCCCAGTATCAGCATGAAAATGGGGTTCTGGCTGCTTTAATCAGATAATCCCGTCTGAAAGTCGAACAAAAATGTGGATTAAACCCAGGGCAAGTTTACTGTATCAGTGCTTTTCCACACAGTCAATTATCAAGGGAATTCTAAAAGTGAAATGAGGGCTGGCTAAACCCTGTCTGTAAAAACCATGAAATATTCCCCTACCCATAAAACAAACCTCTCCAAAATGTGCAGGCAGATGTTTTGCCACATCTGGCCAACTTCTGCTCTCTTTCCAATGGATGACAGGAAAACCACATATTCCAGGTCTGAGTGGGGACCTTCACACAGGGAGTTTCATATCTGGAAGTCTCACTGGATTCACAATGAGGAAAGATCTCTGAAGATCATACAATTAACAAATCCTCATTAGCTGGAGTTCTACTGGGATGGCAAGTCAACCTTATTGAACAAGCAGCCAACAGTCAGAATTCCAAATGCCACAGATGTGCATGGATTTATAGTTGTTTTTCAAATGGAATTAGCAAACAAAGTGGCCTTTTTGATTCCAGAGTCCAATATCAACACAGCTGGGAAGCCCAGTCACTGAAAGAGGGAACTGTGTTGTAAGGTGAGCTTAGAAACTCCTCCAGCAGGGCTGGGAGCTGTGGAGCTGCTCTGCATTCTGATTTATTTCTATTTTTAAACTTGCGAGGTTTGTAATTAATGGCTCGAAGACATGAGGAGAATTGGAACAAATCTCAGCCTCAGCTTCCTCTGCTGTGCTGTTAATGGCTGCTCTGGCCACTAATGTGCTCCAATTTTCCCCACATCGAGCTCATGTGATCCAAGCTGCAGGAAGGAGAGTGGATTTGTAATCGTCTCTCTGATGTACAGGATAATTGCTGACTTTTATCAGACAGCAGTTAAACAAAGACTTGGAAAGAAATAAATATTCCTTAATTGCAGCACTGCCACTGCTCACAGTGGGAGAGCCTCTGGAGGAGTAGCTGGTCCCCATTATCACTGTTCCACACTCAGACATGTAGGAATGAGTTGAGTTCCATGCAGGGGTTTATTTATTTGCCAACTGGAAGTGTGGGTATGTGCTTTTATCACCACGGAGAGCAAGAATTCCTGTGGGAATTTCCACCCCTACACCCAAACACACAGACAGAGAGGAGCTCCCAGTTCCTCCCACCCAGGGAAAAGCCTCCATGGGTAATAAACAGGTTTTACTCACACACAAGACAAATAAATGATCTCATTTTATCTGCGTGGAATTAGCACTGAGACAGAGCATAAAAAACATTTCTAGAGCCAACTTTCCTTTCCTGCTTGCTCCCTGTAAAACAGGCTTTGACTCCTGAAGCACTACAGTCTGAAAAAAGACAAACACACATTTACAGCCCTGAATGGAAATGACTCCCTTAGAGCTGACACTTCCTTCTACCCCCAGGACATCCCAATGAAAGAATCCCTGCACTTTTATATCCACAAATGTCACCAGCACTTAGTTCTGCACCTGTGATGCCTTGAGGACCTTCCATAAGTTAAAAAAAAAAAAAAAAAAAAAAGATAAACAAAATAAATCATACAAACAATCCCTCCCCAAGCCCAGGCTGCTGTCAGGATTGCTGAGGGCTGGGTCTCAGTGCTCTGGGTTCCTGTCTGAAGGGATCTGCAGCATGGCACACGTGTGAAGCTGCCACTCAGCAAATGCCCCAGAGTTTAGAGCCAAGAAAAGACACAAAAAGTAAAGGAAATAATAGTGCTCCACATCTAACTGTGAGGAGATCAGCCAGGAGATAAATAAAATGTTGTACATAGTGTGATGTGGGCTCAAAGAAGTGCTGATAACAGATTAAACACGTTTATTTCACTGTTTTAAACCACTGCTGTATTTTCCACTGTGCCTTTCCTACAGCTTTCTTTTTAAAACCATCACAAACCCAACAACTCCTCCCAGTTCCATTTCAATAGCTCAAAGCAGGTGTTTTGTGCCAGGAATTGTGACACTCGTGGTCAGTGTGGCATCAGGCTCCAGACTTCCCCAGAATATCCTGAGTTGGAAGGGACCCACAAGGATCAGGGAGTCCAACCATAGGTGAACATCTAAAAGCTCCAAATTCAGCTCAATATTAAGGAGGATTAAGAGCTGATTAAAGGGAGCATCCCTCAGAACAACCTGGAATTTGCTCATTTTCCTCTCTTTGTCCCCAATTTCAGGGTGGGGGGTCCAGTTCCCTCAGGTTTTTTTAGGAGCACAAAATTATTTAGGTTGGAATATCCTCTAAGGTCATTGAGTCCAGCTGTTCCCCCAGCACTGCCAAGGCCACCACTGACCCATGTCCCCAAGTGCCACATCCACATGGCTGTTAAACAGGGGGACTGGGACTCACCACCTCCCTGGGAGGCTGTGCCAGGGCAGGACAGCCCTTTTGGGGCAGAAATATTCCTGGTAGCCAACAGAAACCTGCACAGCAGCTCTGAGGAGACCAAAGCATGGTGACATCCCCCCAGGATCCCAGTGACTCCAGGCCAGGTCCCTGTGCCATTACCTTGCTGTGCTCCTCCCAGGAGTTGCTCCAGGTCCAGTAGTGAGCTTTGTAAAGCCCAGCTCTCACTGCCATCAGCTCGTTGCCACGATAATAGAAAATGGGCCTGGAAGGAGAGCAGAGCTGCATGAGAAACACCAACAGCCTGGGCCCAGCCTCCTGATAAGGGCCACAAACCCCTTAATGGCATCCCACTTCCCATGTGGATATCAGGCAGGAACAGGCTGCCTCCTAATAGTCTCCTCTGCAAGGTTTTCAATTAACATTTCTTAAAGTGTTCATCAAGTTGAGAGCTCACACGGTGCAAGAATGAAACATTATCCAGCTTGGCTGCCAGTGATTGTTAATCCTTGAACTCTCAGCCCCTGGGATTTCCTCTGGAGCGTGGCGGTTCCAGCGTCTGACGGCTCTCAAGTGCCTGCCTGGGAGGGAAAAGGGGCTCTGGGATGCTCAGGCTCCTCTGCCCAGATCCACAGCTCTGCCACGGAGCTGGCAGTGCCACACGGGCAGTGCCACATAGGCAGGGTGGCCAGAAGGACACCAGATGCCGGCGTGTTCTGGATGACATCTCTGAAAAACTCCACATGGAAAAACCTGGCAGCCAGACACGCTGTGGTTTTAATTCCTCTCCATTCCTTCCCCCCAAACCTCACTTTGCAGCATGTAAACACGCTGCTAAAGCTGCACTTGTTCCCAGAGGTTTCCCTAATTACTAATTCATCCAGGAAATGCATCTCACTCGCTGCATCTGTGCTGTTCCCTGGGCATCCCAGCAACATTCCTGCTGGTTTTCCCAACAAAACACTCCTGGTTTTTTTGAGGGAACAGCACAGAATTTTACTGGAAGGGACTATCTGCAGGAGAAGGGGTTGATTTGTTGGTGCAGCTCCTCTCTCCAGCTCTTTTGGGCTGCTGACAGGACAGGAGGGTGAAGCTGTTTGTCACTGTCAGGGGGAACCTTTGTCTTTCCTTCTCAGATGCCACTCCAAAAACAAGTCACTCTGGCGATGCCACCTGGAAAAACCTGTCCCTAAATGCAAGGTGAAATTTAAATATCCCTGTGTGAATGACAGGAGTAGCCTCACAGTAACAATGAGCCTCCCTCCTTTGTCACCAAGAGCTGCCACCAGGAACAAAGGGGAAACACCTTTGTGACCAGGAACAAAGGGGAACCAACTTGCTTCCCAGGAAGAAGGGGAAGCTGCTCCCAGAAAAGCCATTCCTGCATCCTTAATGCACCTGGGAGTGAAATAAAGGCAGCAAGAGAGAGCTGCCAAACTGCAGCACCTGATACAAACCAGTGCCATAAACAAAACCTCCAAAAATATTCCAGACACACTCCAGTCTCCTTTGCCTTGTCATCAGCAGCCAATATCTGATCAGTTATTATGTGCCCTCCTGACTGAAGGTTTTAAGTTTTTAATTAAAAAAAAATACTTTTTTTTGTTTCAAAGGAGGATTCCAGCTTGTACTATTTTGATAGAAATTATTTATTTCCTCCCCCATTCACTTTCCTTTCACTTCAAAGAACACAAAAACTGTATCTCCTGGAAAGTTTTTGGGGAAGTGTGAAAACTTTGTCCTGGTCATGTCTAGGAAAAAAAAAAAAAAAAAAAAGAAGAAAGGAAAAATGAAGAAAAAAAGCCACAACGTGCTTTGAGTGACTGTTATTGTAACACAAGCAAGGGGTTGGTGACTGCACTGAAATTCCCTTTTAAAACAACAAAGAAATTTCCCAAACTTCCAGAAGATGGGCCAGGCTGTGTGTGAGGAACTTGCAAGGCTCCTGTCAGGTAACACTCAGGTGTGCTCCTTGCTTAAGAGGCACAAAAGGAATTTCACAGCACAAAGGCTCTCATCCAACAAAGAACAAAGAAAAGAGCTCCAAAAATGTTTTCCATGCATAAGTTTCCTTGCTATCTCCCAAAGAATATGATTGTATTCAGAATTCCCAGACTGCTAAACTCCTTGCCAAAATCCCAACTCCAAGACCTCTCTTGACCTCTGACACTTCCAATAAAATATTTTTTGGCCGGATTTGCTGTCAGATCTTGGTGCCTGTGCCCAAGAGCTGACAGCACCTAAAGATTCCAGGCCTTTCACCCAAATTTATCCCTGCAGAAGCTCTCCAGGACCTTGGGAAGAGGATTTTCCTGCTGTTTCCAGGTCCTCTGCAGCAGCACAGCCTTCACCTCCCAGCTCTGCAGCAGGACAAGGACCCAGCACGCTCTGGGCAGCTTTTGCAGGGATAAATAATGGATTCTCCCCAGCCAGGCTCCAGTTCTCAGGCTTTTATCTCCCCTCCTGCCATATGTTGTTCCAGGGATCCCTGCTAACCCTGTGACATTTTCATCTGTCCCCAGACTCCACTGTATGGCAACATGCCACATGTCAGGAATTCCCAGCTCAGCTTGTTCCAGCGGAGCAGGAGCGCAGTGGGAAGCTGCTGCTGCTGCTGCTGTGCATTCAGCTTCCATTCAATACTTGTGAGCTGGTGTTAAAAAAAAACAGTTAAAAAAACCCCAAATCTGGCATCCCTTCAGGCAGGAGCAGGGCTGGCAGCTCTGGGATAATCACTGACCTGTCAATTAGCTTGCCCTGCAGGATGACAGGTAAAAGGTCGATGCCATCAATCTGTCTGTCACTGGGAGGCTGCAGACCCGCCAGGGAGAGGCTGGTGCTGAACAGATCCATCACGCTGCCCAGCTGATGGCTGACCTGCAACCAAAAAATCAACAGAAACACATCTGCAAAGAGCCCTTCAGGAAAATCCCTATGGAAACAGGTTCCCTCAAAGCTCCCTGAAAACCTCTCCCTTCACACTGCTGCAGTCACCAGTAAACTCCTTTGAAAACAATAAAGCAAAGGAAACAATCCCAATTTTTCCATTTCCAGGGAGACTTTGCATTTTGATTTTTTTTTTCCATTTTCCTCTCCCTCTCCTCACTCCTGTGTATCCCTTTTCCGGGAGTGTGTTGTCACAGGGCTCAACTTAATTTAGCAAATTCCAGCTCATTTGTGGATTGAAAAATCAGCACTTACACCAAGGGAAAAAAAAGTCCTTGATTTGTTCCATCTCCAGGTCATCTCTGGAATCCAGAATACCCTGAGAGAGTTCCCAGAAAGCACATGGATAGATGGATAATAACAAAAAGAGCCTGATGACTTCATCTGCAAACCATTTCCAACAATTGGAGAACTGTAAAGTTGTGGTATTTTTAGTCCATATTTTAATAAGGGAGAAAAACATCTGGGTTTGGCTTCAATGGAGATGTACAAGGGTTTTTTCCCCTCCTTCCTTACTTGGAAGCCATACTCATCTCTATGCTTTTAATTATTTATATTTGAAAACCCTGCAAAGTCTGTTCTGCCTGATTCTTTGTGAGTCTTTGCTCCTTCCCTCCCCGTTGTTGCAGGGTGTTTAATTAGTCAGTGACACACTCAGTTAAAGCAGATGCTGGCAGATCAGGAGCACCAGGATGCACCAGCACAAGATGTGACAGGAAAAGAGCATTTTCAGCAACAGCACGTGTTGGGAAACAAGAAACCATTGCATACAACCCCACAGCTGTGAGTACCAAAGCACTTTCTGACTAAAATCCAAGTCCTATCCCAACAGAACAATGTTGGGACTATCAAAGACCTTTTACCTCTGATTCCTTCTACTCACAAACAGACCCCCAGCCTCTAAGCTGACACAAATTATTTAAATGCAACAAATGATGACACAATAAATGAATTTTTATGAGAGGCTGGCTCAAAAATATAGGGAAAAAAAAGGATCCTAAACCTTGTATTAAGAGGCTGGGCTGAACAAAGTGAACACAAAGGAAGAATTAAGAAAATTAAAAAAAAAAAAAGAACTGGAGAAAGCAACATGCAGGGGCCTAATTACAAGTTTAACATTACAATATCACATTACTTGATTACAGTAATTTCAATTTTTAATGGCTTTCATTCATCAGGAGGTGTTGGCAGGAACACATCTTATTAAAGCTGCATGCAAGAATCCTGCCACAATTCCTTGGGAGGAAACAAAGTGCAAAGCTTGAAGCACCAGAGGAAACCTGGCTGTGGAAATCCTTGGGAAAGCAGCTGGATCAGCTGACCATGACCAACAGGTCCTGGGCCCTCAGTTTGGGATTTATCCACGGCCAGAGCCTGGGAAAGGTCCTGCTCAGCCTGGCCTTGGGGGCAGGCACAAAGGGACATGTTTCCCAGAGAAGCTGTGGTTGCCCCAGCTCTGGAAGTGCTCAAGGCCAGCTTGGATGGGGCTTGGAGAACATTTATTCTTTATTTCAGTGCAGCCTTTTTCTCTCCTTAAAATCATTTTAATCATGCGGTCCCACCTCCTGGCTCCAGCAGGGACAGCCCAGAGCACAGGACAGTGTCCAGGCAGGTCTGGGATGTCCCCTGAGGGAACTCCACAGCCCCTCTGGGCACAGAGGGAAGCTCTGCCTCATGTCCAGGTGGAACTCCCTGGGATCAGTTGTGCCCATCCCTCCTGTGCCATGGCTGGGCCCTCTCCTGTCCCCTCCCTGCCCAGGGACATGGCTGAGGTCCCTCTGAGCTCTGTCCTGTCCCCTCCCTTCACAAGGACATGGCTGAGGTCCCTCTGAGTCCTCTCCTGTCCCCTCCCTGCACAAAGACACGGCTGAGGTCCCTCTGTGCCCTGTCCCTGCACAAGGACATGGCTGAGGTCCCTCTGTGCCCTGTCCCTGCACAAGGACATGGCTGAGGTCCCTCTGACCCTGTCCCTGCACAAGGACATGGCTGAGGTCCCTCTGAGCCCTGTCCCTGCACAAGGACACGGCTGAGGTCCCTCTGAGCTCTGTCCCTGCACAAGGACATGGCTGAGGTCCCTCTGTGCCCTGTCCCTGCACAAAGACACGGCTGAGGTCCCTCTGAGCTCTGTCCCTGCACAAGGACATGGCTGAGGTCCCTCTGTGCCCTGTCCCTGCACAAGGACATGGCTGAGGTCCCTCTGAGCCCTGTCCCTGCACAAGGACATGGCTGAGGTCCCTCTGAGCCCTGTCCCTGCACAAGGACACGGCTGAGGTCCCTCTGACCCTGTCCCTGCACAAGGACATGGCTGAGGTCTCTCTGAGCCCTCTCCTGTCCCTTCCCTGCACAGGGACATGGCTGAGGTCCCTCTGAGCCCTGTCCCCGCACAAGGACATGGCTGAGGTCCCTCTGAGCCCTGTCCCCAGGGCTGAAGCTGAGGCCATGAGCATCTCCCAGCCCTGGGGGCTCCTCCTGGGCTCATTCCCACCCGCAGAGCTGCAGAAGGAGCAGCTCCAAGCCCTCCTGCTCCCCACACCCAGCCCAGGAGCCAGCCCCTGCCTGAGCCCTTTTGTAATCAGAGCTCTCACAATTTCTCCATCTAATCCAAAAATCACTTTTCCTGTTGTGGCTCCGTCCCAGCGCCTCAATCTTTTGATAAGAGGCAATTGCTGACCCCGGGCTCGTGCCTTTAATGTCACCTCATTTATCCAGAGCGTGGGGACAATCCTGGGGGGCCACCACGCTCCCCTTGTCCTGGCCCTTATTAACCAGCACCAGATGTAGATGACTCTCTTTAATCATCCAATTATGTTTCTGGTCTCAGACAACATTTTTGCCGTGAAGCAGAGAAAACTTCTTAAGGAAATTAAATGCCCATGCCACAGCCACTTGGATTTATCTGTGCTCTGCAGCACCACATTGAAGAAGGAAAAAGGGAAAAAAAAAAAAAAAAAAGGTTAATGTTTATATAAAACTTTGAAGTGTTTTCAGAGAAAAAATAAAAAAATTACCATTTTTCTCCTGTCAACAGGGCTCTTTCATTCTAGTTGCCTTTCCCTTTTATTTATTTCTTTTTTTTTTCAAGAAAAGAAAAAGAAAAATCCAGAGAGGGCAACAGCCCAGAGAAAATAAATAATATATAAACGGAGGGAGATCAGATATTGCTGTATCAGTGAGGAACAGCCGGTATTACGCACGTAAGGACGGATTTTTTCCCCCCCTCCTTCCCCCCCCTTCTTTTTAATAAACTCTCAGTATCCACACAACGTCTTTAAGAAAATGAAATCCTTTTGCTGTGGGCCACGGCGCTGGAAGAAATAGTCCCCAGTGCTGTTATCAGTGCTTTCAAGCTTTAACTCTGAATCAAAGGCGACAATTAATAAAGTCACCCCCGCCAGGAATGGAAAGGAGGAAAGCTAAATATTTGAAACTGGGTGAACAAATGTCAGGGTGTTTTTAAATAAAATCCTTTTACAGTTATCACAGCGAGCAGACCTGATATCCCTGTCTAATTCAATTTCAATTTGCGCCCCATGGGAGATAGGGAAGAAAAGGTTGCAATGCTGTCTTTGGGTTGATATGTTCTTTTCTCCTTCAGGAAGCAGGCACGAGAGAGGAAGGGGAGGAGGGCGAGGGGAGAGAGGAGGAGGATTCAAATACCAATAGAATATGATTTTTTTTTTTCCAGCTGGATCCTTCCAGAAGGCAGATGTGATGTGGGGAATGTTGAAACGCTGATTTGTTGTGAATTCACCTGGAAAACGGAGCTGAGGAGGGAAGTGCAGCCAGGCTGTTTGTGTGGGAATAAATATTCCTGGTGGGGAGCAGAACTCACCGAGTGTTGATGCCAAGAGCAACACACACTCCTGAGGCATCTTTCCCCTCCAAAAACCTGCAAACCAGCCAACTGCACCAATTATCCCCAGCTCCACGGAGAGCCTGGCAGGTGCTCCCACCCTGTGCCTCACTCCTTGTGCTCAGATCGAGGAGCTCCTGTATTCCAGCACATGAATGTGCTCTTGAATAAAAACAAAACCCCCCAGCCTTATGGGTCAATAAAATTATTAACAAACTGCCAGGTGGGATCATGGAATGGTTTGGGTTGGAAGGGGCCTCAAAGCCCATCCAGTGCCACCCCTGCCATGGCAGGGACACATCTCACTGTCCCAGGCTGCTCCAAGCCCTGTCCAGCCTGGCCTTGGGCACTGCCAGGGATCCAGGGGCAGCCACAGCTGCTCTGGGCACCTGTGCCAGGGCCTCACCTCCCTCACAGGGAGGAATTCCTTCCCAATCTCCCATCCAACCCTGCCCTCTGGCAGTGGGAGGCCATTCCCTGTGTCCTGGCAGTGTCTGCCCATATAAAAAGTCCCTTTCCCTCTTTTTCCCGACGCACTGCAAGGCTGCAGTGAGGTCTCCCTGGAGCATTCCCATCAGCAGACAGAGTTTTACACAATAACTGGATTTCACTGGCCAGAGACACAAACTCTCCTTTCCTGGCTGCAGTTGCTCCACCTGAAACAGCTCCTGACCCTTCCCTTGCTCCTCAAATGGAAAGGAACAACCACTGCCCTGGGAGCAAACCCAGCACAGGAAGGACTTGACCCTTCAGCTTTGTGCTGAAGTTCACATCCCCCAAACCTTTGCTTCCTTCAGCTCCTGACATGTAGGAGCAATGAGAGACTTTGAAGCAGCTTTCCCACATTTCACAGAGTGCACAGGACTGGGGCTGAGCAGTTAAAACTCCTCCAGAGGATGGTGAAGCTACAGCAAGGTACAGAAAAAAAGCCAGAAGTGTAGTGGTGGACACAAGTCTCTCACCTGTGGTCAGGGCTGCTGAGGGAGCAGTGCTGGAGCCTCGAAGGCAAGAACACAAGCAGAAAACACAGGTGAGTTTCTATCACAGTTCCTGAGCAGCAGATAAGGAGGGTTTGAAGCTGAGCACGTGCTTAAGGCTGACACTGGCATGGTGGAGGAGGGATTTTGGGTGCATCCCAAAATTGGGGAGCTCCGGGCACAGCTCAGGTGCCCAGCCCACACTGCACACACAGCTCTGCATAGCAATGCCTCTTCCCAGGAATTCAAGCAGCAGCTCCCAAAAACTACCTGGGAGAGGGGTCCCAGCCAGGCAGAAAAGAAGCAGGCACAAGGATTCCTCTCTCCTCCTGTTCTTAATTATCCTCAGAGTTACTACAATGGAAAGAATTTTTAAATTTGGGCATTTTCTCGTCCCCATTTATAATGCGTGTTTACTTTTATCACATTATTTAGTTTGGACCCAGCAAACAAAACACTCAGCTGCAGTTTCATGTTCTCCTTTGCTAGCCCAGGGCTGTTGTACTTGGCTTGCAAAGGCTTTATGGAAATGTTTAAATTTAAACAAAATGACTGTTTTCATTTCAAATTAGAAAAATAATAAACCATCCTTGGTAGGTTTGGTGAACTCTCGAAAAATAATGAAACCAAACCACCCTCCTGCCCTCAGCTGCAGATCTGAGCTGCCTCATGGTCCCTCCTAAATGTAAATGATAAATTATCATTAGCCTGCCTCAATTAAACCACCCCTATGGAATGCAAGTTCCACAAATGTTTTATTTATGACCAGTTTGCAGGCTCGAGCACGGTGCCCAGTTAATGAAGGATCACTTTCTGCAGGGCTCGGGGATGCTCACCAGGGGGAGGGGGCTGTGCTGTCCCTGTGATCCTGCAGCAGGATTGATTGCATCCTTCTGTAATGAGAGCTGGGACAAGGGGGGCTGGCAGTGCCACTGAGGGGATATTTTGAAGTGATCATATCTGCATTTGTGTACAGGCAGCACAGAGCAATAATGTGGTGTCTAAACCTCCCTGAGCAGAACTTTCATCAAGCACCAAAGTAAGAGATGTGAGGGTCAAACCACTCGGTACCTCAGGGCATGGAGACTGGGGGGAACAAATTCCTGCTCTTTATGCTCCAGTTTGTTCAAACACATGAGAAATAGAGAGGTCCAAAAGAATAAAGGGTTTAAAAAGAGCAGGAAGACAAGAGCAGAGCCTGGGTGCTTACAGCAAAGTTGAGCACAGACCCTCTACATGGAAATTTGCATTGGAAGTTGTCTGGGGCAGCAGCAGCTCCTTACTCACACAAACACCAGGACTTGGGGCACGGTAAAAGTGGGAAGCAAAGCCCCCCCAGGCCAAAAAGGAGCTCTCCACTCCCTGCAGCCCCCCAGGCTGCTGAGAAGTGCCCAAGGCAGACACTCACCCCTCCTGCAGGGATGTGGCCGGGCCACCAGGCGATGGCCGGCTCCCTCATGCCACCCTCGAAGGTGGTTTGTTTGCCACACAGGAAAGGCCCATTGCTTCCTCCTAGGGACAGAAAAAAAGCCTTCAACCCCACAAAACACCAGCATTTCAAAAGGACACTGTCACCCAGGCTGGCTCGAAATGAATTCTCATTTCTGCATGGATGCTTCTTCAAACGACATGGCCAGAGTTGGGTTTTTGTCATTGTTTCCTTGTTTGTTGTGTTGTAGTTTTGCTTTTTGTTTTTTCTTTTCAATATCCATTTGTGATGAAATTTTAGGAGTGTCTTTTCAGCACAGGGAGAAAGTGACAGTTAAGCACACCTTGCTACCAACAACCAAGTTAAAAACAAACCCCAAACAAACAGGAAATACCTCACTGATGTTTTCCTTCCCTCTAAGGGTGTTAACTGCTGTCTGTAACCAAAGGAAATCAGATAATTTCAAGCAGAAATAGCATTTTTTTCATAATGATTTTAAAGTTTATAGTACCAGAACAATATTAGATGAAGGTAAAAGAGTGAGAAAAATAATCCTGCGTTCCTTTAATGGTCACTCAGAGATGGCCAAGGCTTTGCAGGAATATCTGGTGTTTTAACCCAACCCTGGAGCTCAGTTGGCCAAGGAACAATAAGGGAGGTCTCATAACTGATTCCAGGTCACACAAAGTCAAAGCCAGTGGCTGAGCTGAAATCAGAACTCAGGTTACTCCCTGCTCTGTGGTTCAATAACCACAAGCCAAGCCTGGCTCCAAAGAGAAGAGAGCAGGTTCTAAAATCAATTTGCAGTGATTTGTTTCAGAGAAACCATCACTTAAACAAAAGAAAATTTGTTAAGCAACAAAAATCGTTTCTCTTCTTGATATTTTTTATGAGAGCTAAAGAATGAGGGACTCTTGAACTTTCTCTAATTGCTCAGAAGGCTGAAATATGATTTGGCAGATGGAGAGTAAACACCCTGCTAAGTTACTGAGCCTGGTTCTCAATAAATTACAGAATATTCCCTCCCTGACAGTGCAAATACACACAGGTAACAGCAACACTGGGGCAGGAAAAATTCCATTTGGCCAAGGACATCTCCTCCAACAGTGGCCAGAAGCACTGAACATAAATTATTCCCAACATAAATACTCTGTCTTTTGAGGCTTCTCCTACGTCATAACACAGACCCCACACACAGGGTTCTTTTCTCCTCTGGGAGAGAGATTTAAGCCTTGATTTCCCAAGGCCAGGTTTGTTCAGCTGAGCCTCACCTTGTTTGGGAGCTGAAATGAGAGCAGCTCCGTTATCAGAGGTGAAAAACACAAATGTGCTCTCACTGATGCCCAGCTGCTGGAGGTGCTTCAGGATTTTCCCAACGCTGTCATCGATCTCCCGCACAGCATCCCCATACCTGGGGCAAAAGGAGACGCAAAATACTCAAAAAAAAAAAGGGTCAGTAGATTTAATTTGTACCTGTGCTGCAGAAATCCTTCTCATGCATCAGGTTTTCTGCTGCCACTGCAGACCTTTGTGTCTCTGGCCTGCAGAGAGCAGCCCCTCTGGGGTACTGAGGGTCAGGGTTTGCTCAGGTGTGAGCCACCCCTGGACAGAGGAATTCAGCCATAAAGTTCACAAACAGAGGCAAACCCACCTTGCCACTGACTGGGAGGTCATAACATGGCTTTCCTTATGGTTAGAAACTCTTTGAAGCAACACTCCCAGTGTCTACAGAGCTATTTGCCTCCTCCAAACTGCATTTTTAGGAGTGCTTTTCTATTTGCTGGTTCAATTTATAGGCTTTTAAAACAGGCACTAATCATACAAAAGCCTTCTAAAAAATCATCTGTGCCACAGACAGCATTTCATTCCTCACACAAATGGCAAAGGAGCTTAGAGCACCCCCCCCCTCCCCCTGGGAGGCTTCAGATTCAGATTAAAGCCAAATTATGAAAGAACAATCCAAGCAAATAATACATTTCAGCACAAACACACACTTGAGGAGTGATCCATGCCTTGGATCTAGCAACCACTGCTCAGGTTGGCTGTTCCAGCTGCAGGAGGTATTAATTAAAACAACCCCAAAAAGCAGAACTTACAGCCCTCTCTGACTCGTGCCCAGGAACTGTTTGGAGGCATAAACAGGAGCGTGGGTAGCATCAATTGCCCAGTATAAAAAGAATGGCTGCTGGCTGGCCTGCTGCTTGCTAATAAAATCCAGAGCTTCCTGTAAACAACAATAAAAATGAATTTATCCTCTGCCACCAAAATTTCTCCAAAACAAAAGGCATAAAGTCACTTTGGCTTAGAAGGCAGTACTAAAATAGTACCTGCAGGTAGAGCTGAGTCAAGTTGGCTTCACCTGTCTTCAGATCAATTTTGAAGTCTTCATAGTATCTTAAGATAAAAGGAATAAGAAAGGGAAAAAATCAATCCTAAGGAATAAACCGTCAGGAAAAGGATTTTTTTTTTTCCCCTTTTATGGATTGTTTCCCCTGTGTAAGAAGGTGACAAACAAGTCACAGTTAACACTCAGCAAACTCTCTTCAGATATTAAAAATATGTCAAGATAATAGTTCTTATGGGAGAAAGCAGTAACACAGCTTAATGCAAATTAATGACTTCAAGTTTTGGACAAACCTGAGGGACTGGCCTTTTGCTGCAGGGGGCAAAATGCTTAAAAATCTCATGGTGATACACAAAGAGCTGATTGAAATGTGAATAAAATTTCCGAAGTACACGACAACTTTCAGTGAGACAGAGAAATGCTGGAAGCAGAACTTGGGCTGCTTTGGAAACATTAGTTTAGAGGGATCTTCAGCCACCAGTAAAGCAGGAGGGCCTGGGGAAGTGCTCAGGGAAATAACAGCAGTGAAATGAGACTACAGCAGAGTGAAAAATGAATGGACAAGAAGGGCCCAGACTGCAGACTGGGAGCAGGGAATGAAGCTGTGCAAACACACAAGATGTTATTCCAAACAGGAAGAGAAGGAACAAAGAGGTCTTTCAGTAGAGAATGGGAGCAGTTTCCAAGAGTGGAAGCCTTTAGGGTGCCAGGGATGAGCAAACAACTGTGGGAGGGCAGCTCCACATCCCTGCACCATCCACATGACACTTCCAGGTGGGTCGTGCTGTTGCACCTTTATTAACCACAGAATCACAGAATGGTCTGCCTTGGAAGGACCCCTGAAGCACATCCAGGTGTGTGATGGCAGCAGGGAGAGCCCAGATAACCCCAGTGGCAGGCAAGGAGCTACTGTAAATGCAGGTGAACCCAGTGAGAAGAAATGCTGATGTCTACTCCAGATCAGAAGGCTGAATGATTTCTTTATTATAACTATGCTATAATACATTAATGTACTATTTAAAGGAAATACTAAAGTTACAGCCTTACTTTTTCTAATATATACTCTATCTAATTAACTCCCAACTCATGACCCTCTCTGAGAGCCCAGCCCCAGGAGGGTTGGATTGGCCACCAGCTCAAACAATCCTCACCAGAATCCAACCAAGCACTCACCCCAGGTCAACCATTCTCCACACACATTCCACATGGAAAAAACAAGGAGCAGAAATAGAAATTTTCTCTTTCTTTCCTCTGTGCTCCTCTATGAAAAAATCCTGAGGGAGAGAAGAACGTGCTGCCACAAGGAGCTGGCTTACCTGCCAACCATCTCCCAGTCCCTGTAGACGGGGATGTTGGGGCGCTCTGTGCTGTTGTAGGGCCCGAAGTGGCAGTTTGGGGACCCAAACCACTCATCAAAGCCGTGCTTCAGGGGGTGGAACTGGGCCCGGTGCCCCAAGTGCCTGGCAGCAAAAGCAACAGGGCAGAGTTCAAGTTCTGCTGCAGGGAAGGCAGACCTCAGCTCATCAGAACAGCATGCAAGAACAGTCTCTGCCTAAGAAATCAAAACTCAAAGCATTTCAATCACATAAATGACTCCAGAGCAGTGTCTTGAGCTCTCTCACACTTGTTGCAAGCACAGCCATGCAGACTCACCCCAGTGCTCACTTATATTCCATTTTATTTACTCTCCAATCACTGTTTTCCATTTTTTCCTTCCACTGGTGTCTTCTCCCATGCTGTCTGATGATCAGCACTGATGGACTACACTGCCCCAAACCACTGCAGAGATGCACATAATGTTTTACTTAAGGATTCTGATCTATGACAAGTCCCTTTTATCCCACTGAGCTGTAAAAACACAAGGCAGAGCTCATGAAATGCACCATTCCATCCTCATCCCCTTTATGGAGCATTCAAGCTGCCAAAATGGTACAAAGAGACCTGAATGGAAATGAAATGAGGTTTTTGTGTGCACATGTGGACATAAAACACATTTAGCTGCTCCTGATGACAGCTCCTCTCTACTTACAGCTTGAAAACCTTCCATCCTTAACTTCCAGATGAAGCTCCTCTCTAATCTCCAGGTTTTGTACTGCAAATTCTACATTTCCTGCATTTATAGCACCTTGAAGACAGAGAATTCCCATGCTCTCTGTCTCTAAAGGGGATCTTGGTAGCTCAGTGTTTATTTAACCATTCCATCTTCCCCTCACAAGCCTGGGTCTGCCCCGTCCACTTTGTGCATCCCCCTCTGCACCTTCAGAGCATAAAGTGCATAAAAAGCATTCCCTGGAGTGAAATGATCCTTGGAGTTACTCTGAGCTGTTCCAAACTGAGTTATTACAGAAAGAATCCTCATTTCAGCTATGATTACAGCTTGGTGATGTAACTGCCACTGCAGGTCTGACCTGCAGGATTCCACACTTTCCCCTTCTGTAAATGTGGGAACACAAAGTCATTCCTGGCTGTTTCTACAACAGGGGAGATGGAAAAACATCTTATTCTACAAAACCCCCAAAAGAACTTACAGACATTGAATAATGACTGAGATCCAGATCAGTCTCTGCATCTTCCAGCACAAAAAAAATGAGATTTAATGAAACACAACCAATTCCATGCTGGTTGTGGAAAATACCTGACTTGCAAACTTATAATTAAACCATGGAATTTACTGTCACAGGACACCCTGAAGAGTATTTAGAAGGGATGAACAAAAAAAAATTCTGCTGGAAAACCTCTGTGAGGCAGGATGAGGCTCTAGTTTTACCCTGCATCTCTTTACACCTTTCTAAGGAGCGGGTATCACTCCCAGTCCTGTCCAGGAGAAGTTTTTGGATGCACAGTAATGCCCTGCACATTCCTACTTAGTCCTATTCCTTGCTAACAGCTGCAGGTCCTTCCAGATTTGCCTTTTTTCCCAAGGAACTGGCACCAATCTGCATTTGCCTTGTTTATTCCTTTTCCCTGGGTGTATGAATTTCCATTTATTAGCACTGAACTGCAGCTGATTGCACCCAGCCCACTGAGCTGATCCCTCAGGGCCATTTTCCTGCTTGGATTTGTGCTGATAAATAATTCACTGTCTCAGGGTGCTTTGCTTTCTTCCCAATTCCAGCAGGTGAATCCAACCACAATTCAAACTCACCCTTCTCTAACTTATTAATGAAACTGATAAAGAAATTCCTGTTACTTTCCACAGTAATTCAGTTCATTAATAAAAACCCAACATACAGCAACAGTCAAAGATAAAAACCATGTAGGTGCTCAAGGCAAATTCCAACAGCATATCCTGGTGTTTTCTGATTAAATAAGTGGTGTGAGGTGTGGATAAAAGCCCAGAGTTGAGGAGTTTATAAATACAAATACACACATAAAACCTCAGCAACTCTTTGTATGAAGATATACGTCAGTATTTTTAATGGGAACTCAGGAATTGATCCCAGCAGGGGGAAGATCCATCCACTTTCCAAAGTTGGACATTTGGACTTCAAAACAGATTTTCTTTCCTTCTAATTCTGGGTTTTTTTCTGCTGCTCCTTCCCAACACACACAGAATGAAATCTCAAAGCAAGAGATCTCCAAATAAATTTACCATTTGCCAATGATTTTATTGGTGTAGCCAGCCTTCTTCAGGAGCTCTGGAAGCAGTAATTCAGAATCTGGGATCCCTCCTACTATATCCTGTGGTGTGTATGCTGTGGAAAACAAATCAAAAACACCTTTCTGACTCTTCAAAATATTACAGCAAACAGCTCATGTACTGGATCAGAAATAGACTCGTTTGGAGTCTCAGCAATACCATTCCTTGGATGTCCTCCCATGGGATGGAGAGAATAAACGGATCCAGGGAGACCAAAGGGACATTTCCACCCACTTGTGCATGAGGGCAAATAATAAAGCGAGCTGCAACCTCAGAGTTGGGGTGAGATCTTTGAAAGGGAGATTAAAAGAAAATCAGGTGCTTCGGGGGTGGTCTTTCCACTGTAAATTTGCTTTGTGCTTTCTGAAATGAAGGCAGCCTTTCCCTGTCTCAAATCACCAATAAAGGTGCTCAGACTGCAAGGACTGATGTATTATAGGGTGATGTCCCAAAGGTTTTTTCCAACCTAATTCATTCTGTGATTCTGAAAGAAATCAAGAGTGTCTCTCAGCCCCTGAGGCTCCCAGGTGTCACTTTGCTCAGGGAATCAACCCCAGGCTGCTGACTGCTGCCCAGCCATGTCCCAGCACGTGGCACTGGCCACTCTGGGACCCAAACCAACCCTGGGATCTTCCCTGGAAGCACCAGAGGTAGGAGGGATGGAAAACTGCTCTAAAACTGGGTAGAAATCTGTCTGCTGAATAAACCTGTGAGCAGCCAGCTCTCCTCTGTGGGGATTAACCACACCTGATTTTCCCTCACCAGACCCCAATTCCCCTGGCCAGGGGAAACGTTTCTCAGCCAGCAGAACAAATGATCAAGCAGCCTGGTTTATTCTCTTAATTTGAGGAGGTTTTCTGCTTGATGAGGAGGAAGCAATAAAATTCACACTTATTGCCAGCATTTAAGAGAATTTGGTGGCACTCTGGAATATCAGTAGGGAAGATCCCCTTTGCCCAAGGAGAAACTTCTTACAAGGCACAGAGGGAAATCAGGAGAGGAAGGGAGGTGAGGAATGAGGCTCCTACCATTCCTGGCGTGTCCATTTGTGGTGTAAAAGCCATTCCTGACCGGGAGCCGGCCCGTCAGCAGTGCTGCCCTCGCTGCAAACAACACAAACATTTATTTATAGCATTCTCTGCTTAATATTCACATTATTGGAAGAGGATGAGGGCACACACTGACTGTGTGTCAGTGTCCTCTTGTCACAGCCAGCCCATAAATCACTCACACTCTCCCATGAGCCATGGAGAGAATCAGTTCTGATGCATCATTTGAGTTATTCCAGCTGAAATTTCGCCCCTTGATTAAATTAGCCACACTGAAGGGTCATTCCTTTGAATAGTCAATGGAGCAACCCCTACATCTCAGTTATATATATATATATTTATTATGTATTTAAGAGGAAATCCTAGCACAAACTGATTAGATGCTCAAGGCTAAGCTTTTGACTGAACAAGAATCAGGAAATACAAAGAAAGAGCTGTCCAGCTTTGACAATAAAAGTCAAGTCCTGACTGCAGGGAATATTTAAACAGATAACTTCAAGCATATGCAGTGCCACCACTGGCTTAGCAGGATTTCAGCTTATTTTAAATGCCTTTTCTGAGCAAGGACATCATCAACACACTGGCAAGTGCTATCCTAAATGAGAGCCCAAATAAAAGGCCCCCATTCTTCATTTTTGCTCCAGTTCTTGGCAGCTAATCAGGTTTGAGGGGAAAAAAAAGAAAGTTAAAAAAAAAAAACTCACAGAAAAACAAGGAGAAAAATATCTGCCTCTCCCAGACCCAAACGTTCCTTTTATCTCTTGTCCCTGTCCCAGGAGTCTTGTAAGACACCAGGGTCAAAAGCAGAACATAAACTGCTGCCTTTCCTCGCATGAAAGTCTCACCAGAGCCAAAAGAATCAGACCAAATACGTCCAGCAAGAGTTCAGATCCTGCTTTGTTCAACCCAAAATGAGAAAGATGAAAAAAATGCAATGACTGGGGCTGGAATACTGAACTGAAACGGTATAAAAATCCTTTGGCTGGACTGATCACTGAAGCAGTGCTTTGTACAAACTGAGAACTGTCGGCTTTCCAATCCAAACATAAATAAAAAGGGAGCAAAATGCAAGATCAAAGCAGCAAATGCAATCTCTGGCCCGAGGGCAGGCACTGGTTTGGTTGTTAGCCCATGTCAGAGGCTGGCAAACACCCCAAACTCCTCAGAGGGAGATGTTTCTCGTGCTTACGTGGTTCCAACTGCAGTTTACTTACAGGGAGAGCAGAGGGGGCTGGCAGTATAAAAATCCAGGAAAAGCATCCCTTCTGCAGCCATCTGGTCTAGGTTAGGGGTTTCCTTGGAAGGCTCTCCAAAAGCTCCCAAATCCCCCCAGCCCATCTGTAAAAGGAACACACCAAAAGATGTCACAGTCCCTCTCCACAACCACATTTTTGGGCGCACATACCACTTTCACTATACCCCTTAATTAATAAATTTTTACAGTGCTCATCTCCCTACTCAGCACTTCACAAATGTGACAAAAATGATCTCTGCCAGCCCTGTGGAGCAGGGAAGTCTTACACTTTCACCTGGTGGGTGGGAAATTGAGGCACACACAGGATTAAATGACTTCTGAACAGGTATTAAAGCACTTGCAAGAAGCCCAGTGCCTTCACTGTTACTCAGAGCCCTGAGGCACACCCAGAGCAGGGAGGAAGAGGAAGTTACACGTGGTTTACTCGGGCTTGTGCAGCTGCCACGTCTGAGCCTTCAGTCCCTGCCCTGCTGTCTGTGTTGGAGCCCAGGATTCCACCTCAGCCTCTGCAGGACTGCAAACACAAGGAAAAGGCCTGAACTCCAAAGCAGCACTGCAGGAAAAGCCATAAAAGTGTTTTAAAAGGCAGAGGAATCTGCCAGAGGCATCACCAGTGGCTGTGCTTATCTGCAGGACTGTGCCTTCACCCCGCTCTTCCTCCTGAATGCGAGGGGTCACAGGCCAGGAGAACCACACCCTTCCCACCAGGGTGTCCGTGCTCACTGCTGGAAACCATTCCTGGGAAAAGCACAGCTCCTGGCAGAAGGTTCTGGAAGGGAGCAGCTGAATGAGCCACCAGGCACCACAGGTGCTGGGGATTCTGCTGTGCTTTAGGAAAAGCAAGAGGTTCCTTTGATGCAGGTGTGTGTGTCAGGCCAGCCACGGATGCACCCAGATCCTCAGGGAACCACCTGGTGCCATCAGTTTGGACAAGAAAATCGTTGCAGAGATGGTTTCTGAGTTAAGGAGCAATTAAATGGTTCCCCTGGCACTGGGATCAGGCATTATAATGGATTCACTGGATTCACCCCCAAATTCTTGATTTTTCTTTATCATCAAGGAAAAAAGACCAAAAAGTATCTCACGTTGCTCCAATGAGGATCAAGGGAAAAAACCCAGGGAGAGGTGTTTTTAATGAACATATTAAATAAATCAATGGTTCACAGGAGCCTCGTGCTGTACCGACACTTCCAGAGTGGGAGAATCCCTGTCCCAGAGAGCTTTCCCCTGGAAAATTACAAATGCCAGCTTGGGAAGGGGAAATATTCCTGAATATTTGAGGTAACAGAATCACTGAGCTTGGGAAATCTCTGAGTCCCAGCTGGGGACTCCAAACCTCCCTGGGAGCCCCTGCCAGAGGCTCAGCTGGCTGGAAAAGCGGGGGATTCTCCTGCTCAGGAATGTGGCAACACCATGGAAACAACGGGCAGGATAAACTGGCAAAAAGGAAGGGTTTGCACACCCTCATGAGCTCCCTGAGTAGCTTCAAACAGCAACAAACACATTTCCACCACATATACACCTGGAAGGTAACAGGAAATTATTAGGAGAGAAGCAAACCGGGTAGATGGCTGCGACCTGAATGTGCTGGAAATTAATATAATTCCTTATCCATGTGGCCAAAGGTGCAAAATTGAAAAGATTTGGAGTCAGAAATAAATCTGTGATAATTTCTGCTCTTAAATAATTTATTGTCATTTTCTTTCTTCCCAGTTCAGAGAGACACAATGAGCAGTTATTTTTTTTTGTTTAGTTTTTCAGGAGGCCACCAAGCCCCTCCTTGTGACCAACAATCATTAGGTTTGGGAGGGAGCTCTGGAGGAACACCTGGGGCAGGAACGTGTCCAGGTGGGCTTGGGGATGGCTCCAGAGAGGAGAGCCCACACCGCTGGGCAGCTGTGCCCCCCTCCACGGACAGAGGTGCTGAGAGGGAACTTCTCCTGCTTTGCTTGGTGGTCACTGCTCCTCTTCCCGTGGGAACTGCCACAGGGAAACATCTCTGTGCAGGGATGGTGGACACCAGTGGGAACTGACACACGGGAACATCTCTGTGCGGGGATGGTGGACACCAGTGAGAACTCTGACACATGGAAACATCTCTGTGCAGGGATGGTGGACACCAGTGGGAACTGACACAGGGAAACATCTCTGTGCAGGGATGGTGGACACCAGTGGGAACTGACACAGGGAAACATCTCTGTGCGTGGATGGTGGACACCAGTGGGAACTGACACACGGGAACATCTCTGTGCGTGGATGGTGGACACCAGTGGGAACTGACACACAGAAACATCTCTGTGCAGGGATGGTGGACACCAGTGGGAACTGACACACAGAAACATCTCTGTGCGTGGAGGGTGGACACCAGTGGGAACTCTGCCACACAGAAACATCTCTGTGCGTGGCCGGGCTCCCCTCTCAGCCTGCCCTGCCCAGCCCCGCTCCCTCCTCAGCAGGACAGCGCTCCGGTCCCCTCACCGCCATCCCTCCCTCCATGTCACAGCCGCGCGCCCCCGGCAGCTCCCCACTCACGTCGTCCATGAGGAGGAGGACGATGTTGGTGGTGGTGGCGGCGGCGGGGCCCAGGAGGGCCGAGCACAGCCCGAGCGGGCCCAGGAGGGTCCCGCAGATCCCGAACGGGCCCATGAGGGCCGAGCAGATCCCGAGCGGGCCCATGAGGGCCGAACACAGCCCGAATGGGCCCATGAGGGCCGAGCAGATCCCGAGCGGGCCCATGAGGGCCCCGCACAGCCCGACCGGGCCCCGCGGCCGCCGCGCCGCGCTCGCCATGGCAACCGGGCCGCGCGTGACCCGGGCCGCGCGTGACCCACCGGGAGGGGCGGGGCCAAGATGGCGGTGTGCATCGCCGTGATCGCCAAAGAGGTGCGGGACACCGGCACGGGCCCGGGGATACCGGGACGGGCCGCGGGGACACGGCCGAGCCGTGTGGGGACACCGGGATGGGCCGAACGGGGATACCGGGATAGGCCGCAGGGACACCGGGGCGGGCCGAGCGGGGATACCGGGCCACGGGGATACCGGGACGGGCCGCGGGGACACGGCCGAGCCGTGCGGGGACAGCGGGACGGGCCGAGCGGGGATACCGGGATAGGCCGCAGGGACACCGGGACGGGGAGTGCGACACCGGAATGGGCCGCGGGGACACGGCCGAGCCATGCGGGGACAGCGGGACGGACCGTGGGGATACCGGGCCGCGGGGATACCGGGATGGGCCGGGGGACACCGGGACGAGGGGATACCGGGACGGGGAGTGTGACACCGGAACGGGCCACGGGGATACCGGGACGGGCCGAGCGGGGAGCGGAGGCCTCAGGTTCTGGGGTTGAGGGGAGCGGTGTGTGTGGGGAACGCTGAGGGGGAAAAGGGGCCGGGGCTGTGGGGCCGGGGCAGGCTGTGGGGTACGGGAGAGGGGAATAGGCAGGAGTTCGGGTTGTGGGGTTGAGGAAAAAGGGGGTTAGTGGTGAGGGGAGAGGGGCTGGGCCTCTGGCTGTGGGGTTGAGGAAAAGGGGGGATTAGTGGGGTCTGGGGAAGGGTGAGGGGAGAGGGGCTGGGTCTCAGGTTGTGGGGCTGAGAACGGGGGATTAGTGGGATCTGGGGAAGGGTGAAGGGAGAGAGGTTGTGGTTTTAGGGTCTGAGCAGGACTGGGGCTGTGGGGTAGGGGAGAGGGGAGTGGGCAGGATCTCAGGTTGTGGGGTTGAGGAGAACAGGGGATTAATGGGGTCTGAGGAAGGGTGAGGAGAGAGGGGCTGGGTCTCAGGTTGTGGGGCTGAGAACGGGGGATTAGTGGGAATGGTTAGGGGCTCTGGTTTTAGGGTCTGAGCAGGACTGGGGCTGTGGGGTAGGGGAGAGGGGAATGGGCAGGATCTCAGGTTGTGGGGTCTGCATAGGGGTGAGGAGAGCAGAACAGAGCAGAGCCAGGGCAGTGGGGCAGCCAGTGGGGTGAAAGGGGCTGGGGCAGCCAGCACAGGCACAGTGCCAGGAGCTCTGGGCTGTCCTGCTGCTGGGAGAGAAGGGTTTTCCTTAGGACAGACGGGCACAGAGACCTGAGCCCTGTGCGCTGCCTGTGCAAATGGTTCTCCTGCCACGGGAACAGCTGTGCTCCAGAGGTGCTGCAGCCTGGGGAGGGGCTCTGCTGGGAACAGAAATGGTTAACCAGCTCTGGCAGCAGCAGTGTGACTCCTTCTGCTCCCAGAATTACCCCCTGTACATCCGGAGTGTCCCCACGGAGAACGAGCTGAAGTTCCACTACACGGTGCACACCTCCCTGGACGTGGTGGATGAGAAGATCTCGGCCATGGGCAAAGCCCTGGTGGACCAGAGGGAGCTGTACCTGGGGCTCCTCTACCCCACTGAGGATTACAAGGTGTATCTTTGTCAAGCCTTGGGCCAGGCCATTGTGGGTTTAGTTTAATCACAGAATATCCTGAGCTGGATCATCAGGTCCAACCAGCCCTGCACAAACACCCCAATAATCCCACCCTGAGCATCCCTGGCAGCGCTGTCCAAACTCCCCTGGAGCTCTGGCAGCCTCGAGGGTGTGCCCATTCCCTGGGGAGCCTGGGCAGTGCCAGCACCCTCTGGGGAAAGAACCTTTCCCTGATCTCCAACCTAAACCTGCCCTGGCACAGCTCCTGGGTGCTGTCCCTGTTACAGAGAGAACAGCTCTGTGTCTGCCCCAAATTCCCTCTCGGTTTGTCCCTCTGGGCACATTCCAGCCTGGTTTATGGCTGTGCCAGGCCCTGCTGTGTGAGAGGCAGGTCCTTGACCCCTGCCCAGCTACGGCTACGTGACCAACTCCAAGGTGAAGTTTGTCATGGTGGTGGATTCCTCCAACACAGCCCTGAGGGACAACGAGATCCGCAGTGTGAGTGCACCACAGCAGAGCCACCTCGGTGGGGCTGCTCCTTCCAGCTCCTCAGGACGTGCTGAGAGACAAACAATTGATTCACTCACCTCCTCTCCCCTTCCAGATGTTCCGAAAGCTGCACAATTCCTACACAGACATCATGTGTAACCCTTTCTATAACCCCGGGGACAGGATCCATTCCAGGTGAGTGCCTTGTCCACATGGTTCTTTGACACTTGTCTGGAATTTTCAGGGCACCTCTGATGCAGCAGGACCAGCCCTGTGGTTGGCCAGTTCAGGTGTGTGTGCTCTAAGTGCCTTCATGAGAGCAGTGATGTTGCTTTTGGGCCATTCCTACTCATGAAAAACAGATCTGTTAACTCCCAACTCCTACCTCAGAACTGGGGTTACAAACATAAAGCCAAGAACATTATTTGGGAGAAAAAATTACCTGAAAATAGAGGTAACACTAGTTGGACTTGATGGTCCTAGAGGTCTTTTGCAAATTTATTAATTGTGAATATTAAAATGTACATAGAACAGGTTAAAGATTGAACAAGTGCCCTTGTCCAGGGTTTATCCTTCAGTAGGGACAAACATTCAGCACATGGAATTCCTCACCTGTGAGGGTCAGTGTCCCCCATTCCCATTGTAACCTCACAGGGAATTTTAATAAATTGGGAGTTTCTACAGCCTAGGCAAGAAAAACTTTGCAGACCCAGGGCAGCAGCCAGGATAAGACTTGTCCTTACCTCAGCTTAATTAAAAGTCATTAATCCCTTAACAGCCTGTGCTGTAAAGAGGAAAACCCCATGTCCATCTTTGGGAAAGCCAGGCAGAGGCAGGGTGATAAAGTTTTGTTACAAAATCTGGGCAGAATGAGCTGCTTCTTTAATAATCTGTTTTTATTTCCCTCTGCAGGGCTTTTGATACTATGGTGAACTCCATGATGATGCAGGTGTGCTGAACCCCTGGGAAACATTCCCTGTGTGCAGGAGCATGCCTGCAGTGCTGTAAATATTCCATTCTGTGTAATAATTTAAATTTGTTCTGTGTAAAATAAACCTGACGCCTGCAAGGTTTGCCTGGATTTGTACTCGAGCAAACACAAACCACTGCTCAAGGATTCGTGGCATGGTTTGGGTGGGAGGGAACATTAAAGCCACCTCATTCCATGGGCAGGGGCATCTTCCACTGTCCCAGGCTGCTCCAACCAAACCTTTCTAGGAGCTCCCCTGCCTGGGCTGATTTCTGGGTGGCTCAGTTTGCTGTTACCACTTTGCACCTCATCCAGACACACTGCACAGTGATCCCCAGCCCAGGTAGAGCAACTGGAATAATCCCACCCAATCCAGGCAGGGATTAAACCATCAGGATTGCACAGCTGCCTGGCTCATCCCAAATTCATCCCCATTAGCATCTCCTCCCCTGCAGCTCTAATTACAGACTCCCGAATCAGCAGCAGGTATTTATCTGGAATAAAGCACAAATTGCACTGGAAAAACATCCCAGCTCCATCACTCCTGGTTCAGCAGAGGAGGTACAAGCAGGAGCAAGCACAAACACCTCTACTGCAAGCACCTCATAAGTTAAAAACCACAGAAACCAGCTAAAAATAACAGATCTGCCCAGCCCCAGGGGATCCCAGGAGCCTGGAGAGAGCCAGAACTGCACATGAAGTTCACACAGCAGGATCATTTATTTTAAAAATAAGTAACAATTACAAATACTTTCTCAAACAGAACTCAAGTTCATTGTATCAGCAACCACCTGAATATCCTGGGAGGTTCAAGCCTCTCCCACCATCTCCACAAGGCACAGCTGTGCACTGTTATCCACAAAACATTTCCATCTAAAAAAATTTGGCTGTTTTCACTCACAGAGATGGCAGCTCAGTGTTGCTTCTTCCACAACAGAGTCCAAACACCCCAAAGTAGTTTTTTATTAAAAAATAAGCCTCAAAAATTTATAATCCTATCCAACAGAAGCCCTAGAAAAAGCTGGTTTATAGTCTAAGCCTAAAGGTAGCTCAAATCAAGGTCAGTCTCAGCAGCTCTGAGGACAATATCAACACAACATGAAGAGTTAAGGCCCCAAGCTTTAAAAAAAAACCTAGAGATCTTAAAAGGGAAAAAAAATCAGTGGGATTTTTAGCCTGGCAATGCCCCTGAGCTGTGAAAAGCTGCTTTAGGAGTCAGTTGCATCTGCTGCATCTGGGTTAGAGGAATCCTAACCAAGGATCCCGAAAAGATTAGTGGGAGAATTACATAATAAAAGCCATTTCCATGCAGAACTTCTCCCAGGAATGCTGTCTGCCGGGGGGTTCCAGCCCACCTCTCCTAACACAAAGCTTTTCCTTTAAAAACACAAATTCAGCAGGAAAGGGAAGAGCCAGGAACCTTCTTCCCTGGTACCCAGCTCCTGAGGTGCTCCTTGGTCTGAGCCTCCAGCAGGGCTCACACCATCCCCAAACGTGGCTCCAGAGCAGGAATGGTGGCAGGAATAAAGAGGGAGAGCAGACCAAATCTGCACCAGTGAAGGTGATTTTGTAATGCTGCTGCTGCAAGAAAAAGGAGCTGCCAGCACCCTTTGACCCCTGGAGATTGGAGTAAAAACAGGAGGGAGGGAAGAGGCTTTGCTGACAGCCAAACTGAAAAAGAAGAAGGGTTTTGTGACACCCAGGTCTTGTTTAGCTACCACAGAAACAGAGAGGCTCCCAGAGAAACAAGAGATTGCTTTTTCCTGTCCTGGATGTACACATGCAGCACGCTAAAATCCAGACCCAAACCACATCAGCCTTCCCAAGAGGAATGTCACATCCATAGGGCTGATGAAGGAAAAGGTTCCCAGCAATCAGATCTGGAGCTGCAACCCAAAGCTTTCCCCAATGATTTGGGAAAGGAAAGAGTCTTTAGTTCTTAGAAGAAAAGTTCTTAGAAGAAAAGAAGATCCAGCTGCTGTAGGAAGAGCTGAGGAGGTTCATGGCCAAGCAGTGGCATGGAGGGCATGAAGCCAGCAGGAACCCTCCAGGACAGGCTGGATTTTCCATGGGATGAGACTCGATGGTCTGGGAGAGCTCTTCCCTTCCCAGGACAGTGTTCTCTGGAATGAGCCTGCTCTCCATGCAAACACAACCCCCCAGGCAGAGCTGAGGTGGGATGAGCTCTCCTGGGATGCTGGCAGGATGGAGCAGATCCCATCTTCCCTCCTGCAGCCCAGCACAGGGCTCACCAGTAATCCTCACGGCCAGGCAGATGGCATTTTTAAAATTAATCTGTTTTTTGGCTTGGGTAGGCATATTTTTAAATCTCTCCAATCCCATCTCCTTGTTTCAGTCCCATTGGCATCACCAGGCAGTCCAGCCTCTTCTAGTATGGAAAATACCAAGGCAGCAGCCTTGCCCGACCCCTAGACAGAACAAAACCAACCTCCTGAAGCACAGGGGCACCGCTCCCTGCTGCCACCACCCTCCCAAGGGCTGGGATTCCCTCCTGGGCTGCACCCCCAAAGCCAGGGGAGCCCCACAGCCAAGCACAGCTCTGCCACTGGTCAGGCTGGGAGTGCAATGCCCAATTTCCAGACATTCCTTCCTGCCAAAGCCCTCCTTCATCATCCTCCCAGCCGTGCAGGGGACAGGGGAGCAGGGACCCCATCCTGCTGCACACCTGAGGACCCTCCACCACAGCCAGACTCACCTGTAGGTCCTGCCTCGCACCCTGAGGTGCTGCCCGTAGTAGCCCCCCCAGCGGCCCAGCCCTCCCCGGGCGTGGAAGTAGCCCCGGTAGCCCCCGCGGTCGGTGCTGCTGATGCCGGGCATGTTGGTCCTCTTGGGCAGCACCTGCAGGGTGGGGAGGGGCTGCTGGAGCTGGGATTTGGCCCAGCTGCAGGCAGCCAGGGCTGGGAACGGGGGGAGAAGCCCCCCAGGGCCCCCCCAGCTCTCACCTTGATGACACGGCCCCTGAAGATGCTCTCGTCCAGCTCCACTGCCGCCTTCACAGAGCTCTGCTCCTCGAACTCGATGTAGGCATAGCTGTGGGGCAGTGGTGTGAGCAGAGCCCCAGGGACACCCCACAGGCCCCCAGCCCTCCCTGCACACAGCACTGACCCTTTGGGGTGGCCCGAGAACTTGTCACAGAGGATGGTGACACGGTTGATCTGCCCACAGCTGTTGAAGTGAGACTCCAGCTCTTCTGCCGTGCCCCCGTAATCCACCTGCAACAACAACTCGTGGTTGTGCCATCTGATGCCTTGGGATTCAGCTTTTCTATTTTTCAGGTTCTCTGCTGCCTGGTGTGTAACTCTGGAACTTTCTATGAGGTGTTAGTAGGTTCTCTTCACAGGGTAGTTGGACAAAACAATCCCTTCCCAGCTGGAGGATCAAGGACAGCCTTACCCAAAAATCACAAACAACAGCAAAGGGAAGGGGCAAGCCAGGGGGTTTGGGACTTCATGACCTGGAGCTGTAACTGGACAATTGAACCCAATATGTAGATGAACCAAAACTTATAAAAGTGTAAAAACTCGTGACTGGGATCCAGCCTGGGCGTAGCCTCTTGTGCTGCCTAAGGTGTGTCCTTTTAAGGCATAGCAATAAATACCTGTTTTGTTCATTTAGCTCTGCTTAGTCCTGTTCCAAGCCAGCCTCTCAAGGCAGCAGATCCACCCCAGCAGGGAGGCAAAGGCCCCACTCACACCCCCCACCACAGCTCAGCCTCTGCTGAGGGTCAGGGGACCCTCCCAGCTGAGTGCTCCCACCTGGAACACAAATCCAAGAGACAACCTGCCCTGTTTTGAAGGAACGAGCAACACCACACAACCCACAGCTTCCAGGGGGCTTTTTGGGGAGCTGACACTTGCAACAGATGAGCAGATAACCAGCTACACTGCCAGGCTGGGCACAGGAGAAACACTTGGGATGGGAACAGCCAGGCTTTGGTGGGGGACAGATCCACTCCAGGGATTTGGGACACACTCCCAGCTCCCACTTACGTTGCCCACGTAGATGGAACGCTGGTCAACCTCCATCTTCTCCTTGGTTGTCAGTGGGAAGAGAGCTGTGGAGAGGAGGGATTTGTCATGGACAGAGGGACATCTGTCCGCTCCCAGCACAGCCACCCCCGAGCTGACACACTGCAAAGCTCCTCAGGTGCTTCTCACATCCAGGTGTATCCAAACCCTCACATTGCTGCCTTCTCCTCCACCCCCCTTGGCCCTTTTCTTTTCAGTGACTCCTCTACTGCAGCTGTTGGTAATAAACTCAATTACTTGACTGAACTAAGTGCAAATAAATTAATTTAGTACATGTGGGCCCACACAGGTAGGAGGTTAGAGCTGATAGAATGTGCATTAGCACCACACCAGGCCTGGAACCCCCTTCACCCACCTTATGTGTCCAGTCCCAGGTGCCCGGAGAGGTGGAGCCAAATACTCTGGCTCCAATTGTCACCCTGTGCCCCAGAGGTGTCCCTGGGGAGGGACAACAACACCCTGTGACAACTCCTACCTGCTTCTGAGCTCATGAACAGGTGGTTCTCAGCTTCCAGCTGCAACTTCTTCAGCCTCTCATCTTCCTTCTCTATTTCCCGCAGTTTGGCTTTGATGGCCTCCAGCTCCTGAATCCCAAAGCAAGAATTGCACGAGCAGCACTCAGAGCAGGGACACCCCAGGAATAAAAAGTTCCCTCTCCCTTTGGGCACCAGGGAAAAGGGGTTCCCCGTGCAGGCAGGCACTCACCGGGTCCTGAACATCCTGCTCCTCCGGGCTGTTCCCCTCCTGGGTGCTCACATCCGAGCTCTCATCTGCCGCCTTGCACACCGCTGCCACCTCGCTCACATCCCAGGGCGCCGCCTCCGCTCGCAGGGACGGCGGGTCCTGCCACCAGATCTCCGAAGCGTCCAGGAAGAGAGGACTGGGCGGGACAAGGGGCAAAAGGGCATTGAACCAACAGCCATTTAACGGATCAGAACCGCAAAGTGCAGCCAAAAGGTCTCCGGTTCATACTGAGCCGATTCCCAGCTCATGGGGGCTGCAGAGGGGACCTGGCAGCAGCCGCCCTAAAGTGGAAAAAAACCCCCAGGGGCACAAAGGGGATGGGTGGGGAACGGAGAGAGGAGGGAGCAGAGCCGCTCAGAGGGAGCAGCCGGAGCTCCGCGTCCCGCAGCGAACGAGAGCCGCACCCTCCCGGGGGGCTCACAGAGCACTCCCACCCGGGGAGAACGAGCACGCCCACCCGGGAGTGGACCGCCGGCAGGGCTGCAGCCCGTGGAGCAGCGGTACCGTGCTCGGGCGCTGACCGGCCGTGCCCGGGCGGTGCCCAACCGTGTGCCCGGGAGGTGGCCAGCCGTGCCCGGGCGGGGTCCGAGCACCGACCGGCCGTGCCCGGGCGGGGTCCGAGCACCGACCGGCCGTGCCCGGGCGGGGTCCGAGCACCGACCGGCCGTGCCCGGGCGGGGTCCGAGCACCGACCGGCCGTGCCCGGGCGGGGTCCGAGCACCGACCGGCCGTGCCCGGGCGGGGTCCGAGCACCGACCGGCCGTGCCCGGGCGGGGTCCGAGCACCGACCGGCCGTGCCCGGGCGGGGTCCGAGCACCGACCGGGCGGTGTCCGAGCACTGACCGGCCGTGCCCGGGCGGTGTCCGAGCACTGACCGGCCGTGTCCGAGCACTGACCGGCCGTGTCCGAGCACTGACCGGCCGTGCCCGAGCACTGACCGGCCGTGCCCGAGCACTGACCGGCCGTGCCCGAGCACTGACCGGCCGTGCCCGAGCACTGACCGGCCGTGCCCAGGCGGTGTCCGGGCACCAACCAGCCGTGTCCGAGCACTGACCAGCCGTGTCCCAGCACTGACCAGCCGTGCCCGGGCGGTGTCCGAGCACTGACCAGCCGTGCCCGAGCACTGACCGGCCGTGTCCCAGCGCGGTCCGGCCGGTCCCGTCCGGTGCCCCGGCCCCTCACGCACCTGGCCCGGCCCCCGAACATGCTGCGCGCGGCCTGCGCGAGCGGCGACCACGTGCGGCTCTCCCGCCACCACGAGCGCGCCTCGCGCCCGCGCGCCACTTTCACACATCAGCGGCCAATCCGCGCGCGACGCGCGCCGCGGCCCCGCCCCCTCCGGCCCCGCGCGGCCCCGCCCCCGCCCGGACAGCGGGGCCGCGGGTTCGAGACCCGCCGGTGCCGTTCGGCCGCGGCTGATGGGCGGGGGTCCCTCCGCCCCTCCCAGCGGCCGGGGCTGCGGGCGGCGTTGGGGCAGCACGGGGGCACCCCCGAGGGTGGAGCCGCAGCTCTAGGTGGGACAGATCCCCCTGATTGCCCCGAGGACGCAGCTGAGTTACCCCGCCGCGGGCACCCCCCCTGTGCAGGGAGCGGCCCCAGGGCTGTAATGAACCCCACGAGGTTCATTACTGTAATGAACCCCCCGAGGTTCATTACTGTAATGAACCCCCCGAGGTTCATTACTGGGGGCACAGAGTGCAAAGCACCGCCAGGAGTGGGCGGTGAGGGCGCCCAGCACAAGCCCAGGCTACGGAGCCTCTGGTTGATATTAAATTGTCTTTATTACACAGATACAGAGTTAAGAACAGACATAACCTGAATCATAAAGTTTACATCTTTCACAGGTCAAACATACAGTACACTTAGAGAAAGCGGGGAACAGCAAGGGGGGGACAGCATGCCGAAGGAAAGTCCTACCACATCATCTCTCTGGGCTGCACCCCACGCCTGGCCCTGCCGGGGGGCTCCGCTTTCCAGCCCCTCAGGGCCCCCCGTGCTCGGTGTCCCCATCCCAGGGCGACACGGGCAGGGCTCAGCCCCGCACGGGGTCGGGGAAGCGGTGATGCCGCCGCCGGGAGGGAGGGAGGGAGGGAGGGATGGGGGACACGGGCACGACCTCCCTTCCCGGGGCAGTGGCGTTCGGTGACATCGGGGCTGTCACCGCAGTGGGGACACCCCATCACAGTGCTGCGACCTGGGAACACACAGTGGCATCTTGTCCCCAGCCTCAGACCCACTGGGAGCCAGAGGGGGACCCCAGCAGCCCCCGGAGGAGGAGGAGGAGGAGGAGATGCTGCAGGGGGAGTTCGGGGGGCTCTGGCAGTGATGGAGCAAAAGCCAGGCAGGCGTGGGACCCCCGCTCCAGCCTGGCCGGGACGTGGCACTTTGGTTTCAGCTGGGATTTTGGGATGGTTTCAGCTGGGATTTTGGGATGGGAACGTGAGGAAGGGGCTGGAGAGGGGCAGCGGGGATCCGCGTCCCTCCTGCCACCTCCCCAGCTTGGTGGCACCCCAGCACCCAGCGCCCTGGGGACCTGGGACACGCTGTCCCCGTGTCCCCAGCACCGTCCCCCGGCCCCAGCTGTGACGGGAGTGGGGAACCCGGGAGCTGTGAGCAGCCACGGGGACCCGATGTGGCACCCCGCGTCCCCAGGCTGTGCCAGCACCACGGTGCCACCGAAGGGGCACAGCACGTGGCACACGTCCCTTGTCCCCCAGCGCCACCATTTCGAGCAAACCCCCGAGGTTTGGCCGCTCCGTCCTCCCCGCAGCACAATTTTCTTTTTTTTTTTCTTTTTTTTTTTTCTTTTTTTAATTTTTTTTGGGAAATCTCACATTTAAAGCTGTCGTTCTGGTTTGGCCGCCCGTCACCGCCGTCCCCTCCCTCCCCTCCCTCGGCTTTTGGTTTCAATGCAAGGTTCTGTAGGGTAGTTTTATTCTTAATTAAAATTAAAAAATTTTTTAAAAATCATAATAATTCCAAAAAAAAAAAAAAAAGCAAACCAGCAGGGAGCGGAGTGGAAAGGAGAGCAGCCCCTGTGGAAGTGCTCTCGCCCGCGGTTTCCCGGCGAGGTGGAGGTAGAGAGGCAGAGCCCCGGCAGGAGCGGGGCCGGGGACACGGCGGGGACACGGGGGGGACACGGTGGGGACACATTGGGGACACGTTGGGGACATGGCAGGGGACGGGCCGGACACCCGGGCGAGCAGGGGCATCTGCAATACTCTTATATATTACCTCTTCTCAGGAAACGTAAGAAAAATAGACAATATTACATATGTCACACCATAAATAAAGTGAACAGTCACGGGAGGGGTGAAGCTCCCAGGGTGGGGGGGGGGGCACAGAAACCACCCAGGGGGTGCACCGAGGTCTTGGGGGGCACAGGAAACCCCTGGGGGGATGCCCCAAGACCTTGGGGTGCACAGGAAACCCCTGGGGGGATGCCCCAAGACCTTGGGGTGCAGAGAAACCTCCTGGGGGTGGATGCACCAAGACCTTGGGGTGCAGAGAACATTCCCAGGAGGATGCCCCAAGACCTTGGGGTGCAGAGAACATTCCCAGGAGGATGCACCAAGATCTTGGGGTGCACAGAACCTTCCCAGGAGGATGCCCCAAGACCTTGGGGTGCAGAGAAACCTCCTGGGGGGGGATGCCCCAAGACCTTGGGGTGCACAGGAAACCCCTGGGGGGATGCACCAAGACCTTGGGGTGCACAGAACCTTCCCAGGAGGATGCCCCAAGACCTTGGGGTGCAGAGAAACCTCCTGGGGGGATGCACCAAGACCTCAGAAGAAGAAGCCTGGGAGGATTCAGAGAGAGCTCAGGGTGCACAGAAACCCCCCAGGGTTTTAGGCTGCACAGAACTCATCCAAGGCGATGATTTTGGGGTGCACAGAAACCCCCCAGGGTTTTAGGCTGCACAGAACTCATCCAAGGCGATGCACCAAGATTTTGGGGTGCACAGAACCCTCCCAGGGGCTGCACCAAGGCTTTGGGGCGCACAGAGCCACCAGCAGGGCCGGGTGCCGGTGGCACAGGACCAGGGACATCACCCCTGGCGTGTCCCAAGCTCTGCTGTGGCTCAGCCCCCCTGCCCCGAGCCCTTCCCTCCTCTTCCTCCCGTAGGGAAAACACACAGGATGGGTTTTGCAAATGCGGAAAAACTACAGCTCCTCTCGATGCCAGGCCTCGCTCCGGCCAGCGCCACGGCTCCACGCCTCCTCCTCATCCTTTATTTGGCAAACGTCTCTTATTATTATCACTAGCATCATTATTATTATTATTATTATTCATTTTTGGACCTCTGCAGACACTATTTACATTCACATTAGCGCACAGCACTGCTGCCTCCGCTCGGAGCTCAGACTTTCCCTATTGCACTTCCGTCCTCCGTGCCGCTCCGGCGAGGCAAGAATCCCAAATAATCCACATTGTCCTTGGCCAGGAAGGCGGCAGCGTTCCTTTTCCTTTCCTTTTCCTTTTCCTCTTAAAAATCCTTGTGAAACAAATCCAGCGCGGGGGTGTGGGAGCAGCCTGGCAGTGAAGGGATGGGGGGGTCCCCCGACGGCTTCGGGGAGGGAGAAACCCAAAATCCATCTTTTAATTTCCTTTTTTTTAAATTATTTTTTTAATTATTCTTTTTTTTTTTTTTAATCTCCTTTTTGTTCTCCTTTCCCAGGGCGGTGGCGGGCAGAGGTAGAGATGTGCCGGCTCCAGCTGCGGTTCTCAGCCCCATCTCCCCCTCCCACACCTTGGGGGTTGGGGTTTTAGTAAAAAAACACTTTTTTTTTTTTTTTTTTGCTTTATTTTAATAGAAATTCTTTAAAGCCCCAGGGGCATGTCCATCCATCCTTGTGGGGAGGGGAAGGAAGCGACAACAGAACGAAACGAACTTTGGCAGTGGAGAGACGTTTGGATCTTCCTTGGTTTTGGATTTCCTTTGGAGCAGAGGTGGGTCTGGTCTGTTCTTGGCTAGCTAGCAAGGTAGTTACAGGTGAGCGTCCGTCACGCGTCGTCTGGTTTTTGGATTTTTCCTTTTTTTTTTTGCTTTTTTTTTTGCTTTTTTACAATTTCTTACTTAAAGCCAAAGAGTCCGACGTTTTCTTTTTTATTTTCTTTATTTTTTTACAAAAAAAAAAAAAAAGAGGTAAAAATTAAAAAAAAAAATAGGAAGAGAGAGATGAAGGAAAGAAGGTTCTTTCCTCCTCCAAGGGAGCCCCTCAGCAGCACCGATGGGGGATGGGATCGGGCTGGTCTCTCCCCACAGCACTGCGTGGTGATGCTGGAGCCAAATCCCTCATCCAACGAGCAAAAAAGAAAAATAAAAACAGCCAAAAAACCCAAAAAATCCCAAACCACAATCCCCCAGCCGATAGAAAACCGACCGAAAAAAAGCCGAAAAAACAAAGACCGAAGAAAGAACAGAGACCGGTATTTGCCTTAACTCCACTTAAAGCCCAGTTTGAGGATCCGTGAGGATTAGTTGTGAGAGCTAGAGAGGTCGTTTCGGAGGTCACACGAGTCAGGTAGCTGAGGAAATCGCACGGGGTGCAGTCCGAGGCGGCTCAGCGGGACGCGCTGTCCAGCGGGGCCGGCGTGGCCGGAGTGGCGGCGCGGGACGCGGCCACCGAGCCCGCCTCGCTGGGGCTGCTGGCCACGGCGGGCACCGCGTCGGGCTGGCCCGGCCCGGGGGCGGCGGGGCCCGGCAGCCCCTGCAGAGTCTGCCCGCAGACGTGGTGGTGCTTCTCCCAATCCTTGTGTTGGCAGAAGGAGCCGCAGTAGCGCGCGGTGTTGCAGCCGCTGCACGTCTCGCTCGCCTTCCGCCCGCAGTTCCAGCAGCTCTGCAGGAACGGGAACACGGCCTCAGCTACGGAATGTGCGGCCTGGCTGGGCTGGGCACCCTCACCCGGGACTGGCACTCCGTCATCCCAGAGGGTGTACATCCATCCCAGGGAGTGTACATCCATCCCAAAGTGTGCACATCCATCCCAGGGAATGTACATGCATCCCAGAGAGTGTACATGCATCCCAAAGAGTGTACATCCATCCCAGAGGGTGCACATCCATCCCAGAGTATACATGCATCCCACAGGGTGTACATCCATCCCAGAGAGTGTACATGCATCCCAGAGTGTGCACATCCATCCCAGTCCCTGCACATCCATCCCAGTCCATGTACATCCATCCCAGTCCATGTACATCCATCCCAGAGAGTGTACATGCATCCCAAAGTGTGCACATCTATCCCAGAGTGTGCACATCCATCCCAATCTCTGCACATTCATCCTAGACCAGGTGCATCCATCCCAGTCCATGTACATCCATCCCAAAGCGTACATATCCATCCCAGAATGTGCACATCCATCCCAGAATGTGTACATCCATCCCAGTCCATGTACATCCATCCCAGTCCATGTACATCCATCCCAGAGTGTGCACATCCATCCCAAAGTGTGCATATCCATCCCAGAGTGTGCATATCCATCCCAATCTCTGCACATTCATCCTAGACCAGGTGCATCCGTCCCAATCCATGTACATCCATCCCAGAGCGTGCACATCCATCCCAGAGTGTACATCCATCCCAGCCTGCACACATCCATCCCAGTCCATGTACATCCATCCCAGAGTGTGCACATCCATCCCAATCTCTGCACATTCATCCTAGACCAGGTGCATCCGTCCCAATCCATGTACATCCATCCCAGAGTGTGCACATCCATCCCAGTCCATGTACATCCATCCCAATCTCTGCACATCCATCCCAGAGTGTGAACATCCATCCCAGTCCATGTACATCCATCCCAGACCATGCACATCCATCTCAGAATGTCCACATCCATCCCAGTCTGTGCACATACACCTCAGCCTGCACACATCCATCCCAGTCCCTGCACATCCATCCCAGAGTCTGCACATCCATCCCAGTCCATGTACATCCATCCCAGTCCCTGCACATCCATCCCAGTCCCTGCACATCCATCCCAGACTGTGCATTTCCATATCAGACCAGGCTCACCCATTCTGGACCGTGCTCCCCTATCCTGAACCATTTCCCCCCCTAATCCCAGACCATACAACCCTACCCTGGACCTTGCACAACACCCCAGACCACGCACCGCACATCATCCTAGACTGCATCCACATCCAGGACCATGCACCCCATCATTGCCTGCGTGCTGCATCCCCATCTCGGTGCAGGAATTCCCCTGTGCTCCCATCCCACGGTGCTGCTGCACGCTCCCATTCCCATTCCCACCCTCCATGGCATGACCAGCAGGTTCCACACACCAGCAGGGTCCCCACCTCGCTGGAGTCCTCCTGCTGATTGATGACGGTGAGGGCATCCTCGGACGCCTGGCGCTTGGCCTCGGCCAGGGCCCGCTCCATCTTGGCGCGCTCCGTCGTGATCAGCTCGTGGGCTTTGCGCTCGGCGTCCGACACGGCCTTCTGCAGCTCGGACATGGCCTGGCGCTTCACCTCGTTCACGGCTTCTTCTGGAAGGCAGCAGCCGAGCGTGGCCGCGGCGTTCTGCTGCCCCAGCATCCCCCTTCCCGCGGGACCACCCCGAATTCCTCTTGCGCCAAAGGCACCCCAACAAAGGGAGCTGTGGCAGAGCCCCTTCGGGCTCAGCACCCTGCCGGGGGCTGGTGCCCACCCCACACTCACCAGCCTTCCTCCAGATCTCCTCGGGCATGTACCCGGAGAGCGGCCGTGGCGCGAAGTCCCGGTGAGCGTCTGCGAAGGAGAGCGGGGACGCGCTTAGGGAACGGCCGGACCCCCGGGAGAACGGCCCCGCCCGCGGCCCCGGGGGTCAGTACCTAACTGGGGAGCCTCGGTGGCAGCGGAGGAGGAGTTGTGGGGGCGTGCGGAGGGGGGACTGCCTTTCTTCATGTCCTCGGCGTCGCTGTAGCGCCGGATCCAGTGGTTGAGCTCCTCGCGATCGGCCTCCTGGCACCGCCGCAGCACCGTCAGCGACCGCCGCGTCTTCTCCACCATGTCCATGATGCAGTTCAGCAGCTGCGGGGGCAACAGCGGGCATGGGGAGGGGGCTCTGCTGCACGCAGCCGGGGGGCTGCGGTGCCCGGTGCTGGGCGGGGGGATTTGGGCTATGCCAGGCTGTGCCAGCTGCAGGGTGCTGAGCTGGCTGTGGGAGCAGAGGATGCTCGGGAGGGACTGAGGGCAGAGTGGAAGGACACACACACACACACACGGGTGGGGCAGGGACTCTACGTACGTTGTTGAGGTGTTTCCACTCCTCCGCCCACTCGCGGTCCGTGAGCCGGTGGTCGATCACCTCCTCCTGCCGCGTCCCGTGCACGGCTGCAAGGCAAGAGCGGAGCGGGGTCAGACCCCTGCAGGACCCCCCTCCCTTCGGGGGGCTCCCAGCCCCGTTCTCCCCGGGACGGCGGGGCTCACCGGCAGGCCGCTGGCGCTCGCGGAGCTCGCGGGGGTCGGGGTGCCGGTAGGTGTCCCGGTAGTGGTGTGCCATGGCCATGTCCTCCAGGCGGTAGTGCTGGGGCAGCGGGGGCCGGCCGGGGGGTGCCCCAGCCCGTTCGGGGGGTGGCTCAGCCCGTTGCTGGGGCTGTAGCGCTGCGCGGGGCTCATGGTGCACGGCCGCTTGCTGAGGTGCTCGGGGTGCAGGGGGTCTCGGTCCAAACCGTTCTCTTTGGTCCTGGCCGGAGGAGAGGAGGTTGGTCCCCGCTGGTACCCCCAGAACGACCTCCCCTTTTCAGGGGGGCGTCCCTGGAAAACCCCACGCGCCCCATCCCGGCTGGCACCTGTCTGGCGTCCTCCTCTTGCCGCTCTCGCCCACCTCCAGGAGCAGCTCGGAGGAGTCGATGGGAGAGGAGGCGTTGGCGTCCAGCAGCAGCTGCTCGTGCTGCGCCAGGTACTGGGCCGGGGTCTGCTTGGCCATGCGAGCGCAGTGCAGCAGCTCCCGCTGCAGCAGCGGCAGGTTGGCCTGCGGGGAGGGGGGTGACAGTCCAATCCACGGCCCCACAGCCCCCCCAGAGCAGCCTGGCTGTGCCCCCAGCTCACCACGGGCAGGGGGTACGAGGGGGTGCCTTCCCTTTGTGGTCCTGCTCCTTTCCCCCCTTGGGATGCCAATAGAGCACCCAGGGGCCAGGTGGGCTTTTGGGGGACGCGTGTGGCACCCCACAGGGTTCAGACACAGCTTCAGCAGAGCTCTCCTGCATCCTGGCAGGGGCTGCAGAGCATCTTCCTGGGCCACCTCAGCCACTCTGTCCCTACAACTGCTCCCTGGGGATTCACCTGTGGGACCCCCAGCCCGTGTGGCACCCACTGTAAGGATCAACCGTGAACTCCCCTCCCACCCACGGCGCTGCAGCCCCAGGAGCAGCAGGAATTAAGCAGCAGAACCCCCTTTTGCCCGGCACTCTGGCTGCCAGCCCTGGATTTTGCCTCAGGCAGCTGAGCCGCAGCCAAATCCCATCTGTGGGACACGTTAGCGCCCCAGCCCGAGCTGCAGTTGCGGTGAGCAGGGCCAGACCCTCCCTCCCCTTCCCTTCCCTGGCCGGGGGGGAGCAATCCCACAAAAACAGCGAGTCCCCAGTCTGGGAAGCACGCCGAGCCCGGCTGGTTGCAGTTAGGATAATGAGGAACATCTGGGCCGGTCGGTGGGAACAGCTGGGAGCGGGGTGCCAGGGCGGCCGCTGCGCTCTTGGCACCGGGACAGCAGCCATGGATCCCAGCCTGCCTGGAGCCACGGGGCCACCAGCGCCTGGCCCTTCACCTTTCCCTGCTCCCACGGATCCCAAAAACCCTGCCAGCTGGATGGGAGGGGAGGGGAGGGGGCTCTGCCCTCCCCCTCCAGCTCAGCCTGGAGCAAACCACTCCAGCAGATTCCTGTGGTGAGCATGGACCTCCACTCACAGAGCCCTGCTCTGGCGGGGCTGGCATGCAGAGGTAGAAAAGGGGTTATTTTTGCACTTTTTAATTATTCCTTTGCTAACAAAGGCCAGGGCACACTGGGGTAAAACATCTGCTGGCAGTGGTGGTGCTGCCAGGCGTGCCAGCGCCGGGCAAATCCCTCTGGAGCGGGGTGACACTGCAGAGTCAGCGCAAAATTAAAAGTTAAATTTAAAAAAATGGGAGAATTTTTAATGAATTGCACATGGCAACCAGCTGGGCTGACCCCTCGCTGTATTGCAGCCAGCCCTGGGCCTGTGTGATTCCACACGTGTGGGGGCACATGCGTGTCTTGGGGGGACACGGGCAGACCCACGGGCAGCTGCCAGCCCCAAAGCCACCCCCAAACCCCCCGAATCCCCTGTGCTGAAATGCTGCCACGAATCCCACCCTGCCCGGGCTGGAGACCCACCTTGAGGAAGGGGATGACGAAGGGTCGCAGCGGGAAGTTGGTGGCCTCTTGGAGCTTGGCGTGGAACTCCTCGATGGTGAGGGTGGAGTTCTGTGGGGACAGCCTGGGCTCAGCACCCCTGGGGACCCTTGGCTGTTCCTCCCCCGTTCCTGCTCCTCTGCCAGGCTCACAGGGAAACCACACTCGAGGGAAAACCACGCTCAGGATGCCAACAGCCAGGACCAGCCCTGTGCTGGCCGTGCGCATCCCAGGAGACGCTGGGAGCACAACCCCCTTTCCTCCAGGATTTAGCTCAATCTAGGCCACTCTTTCCCTTTCAGCAGAGGAAAACCCAGGCTGCTCAGAGGCGGGTCCCCATGGCTGAGCCCACGCACGTACCACGAGCCCCAGGACGAGGGTGCGCACCCGCTCCCCGATCTCGGGGGAGATGTCGTTCCCGAACTGCTGCAGGGTGGTGAGGAAGCGCTTGAGCTTGGAGAGCTGGCGGGCACCGCAGGCCGGAGGGAGCTGGTGGGTGGATAGGGAGGCGCTGGAGGAGGTGGCTGGCCCATTGCTGAACCCGTTGGGGGTGGACGGAGCCCCGTTGATGGCGGTCGGTGAGTGGCTGCTCCCATTCATCACTGGGGACACAGGGAATGGCACGTCAGAGCGGGTGGCTGCGCCCTGGCACTGTGGGATGGCAGGAACAGAGTGTCCTGCTGGGTAAGGTGAGGCTGGCAGTCCCTGGATGCTCCAGGGTGCTGGTGAATCCCTGGGGTTGTATCCTGGACTGGTCCCAGTGCAGTGGGAGCTGCAGGGCAGGAGGGGATGCAGAGCATCCCCAGGTCAGCAAGGGCCCGATCCAGCTCCTCAGCAGCCAGAGCAGCCAAGGGAAGGGGCTCCACCCTGTCCCCCAGGGACAGCCCATGAGCCATTTCCCACAGAGCCCAGCCTGCCACCTCTGTCCCCGCTGCCCGGCCAGGAGGGACAGGAGCTGCCTGAACGCCGCACACCAGCAGACCTAGGGGGGATATTTTGGGGTACCAACCATCAGAGTGGCAGAGCACTCTCTCCTGCACCAGCCCCACAGGGACCTTTTCCTGGCCAGCACGGGTGACAACACGTGTCACCGTGTCCCAGCCAGCATGGGTGACAACACACATCACCCATGTCCCAATGGCATAGGTGACAACACGTGTCACCCATGTCTTGATGGCGCAGGTGACAGCCCCCATCACCCATGTCCCAGTGGCGTAGATGACAATATGTGTCACCCATGTCCCAGTGGCTAGGGTGACAACACGTGTCACCCATGTCTTGATGGCGCAGGTGACAACCCCCATCACCCACGTCCCAGTGGCGTAGGTGACAATATGTGTCACCCATGTCCCAATGGCACAGGTGACAACACCCATCACCCATGTCCCAGTGGCGTAGATGACAATATGTGTCACCCATGTCCCGACCAGCATGCATGACAACACATGTCACCCTTGTCCTGATGGTGCAGGTGACAACAGGCGTCACCCACTTCCTGGCCAGCACAGGTGACAACACATGTCCCCCATGTCCTAGTGGCGCAGGTGACAACACACATCACCCACGTCTGGCCAGCACGGGTGACAACACACATCACCCATGTCCCAGCCATCATGGGTGACAAGACGTGTCACCCATGTCCCCACGGCCCGTGGCCCCGCGGCACGCCCGCGCCTGTCCCTGTCCCCGCTGGGCTGTCACTGACCTGGGGGTGCCATGCTGCCCTGCCACCCTGCCTGCTCGGGGGTCCCGCTCGCTCTCGGGCCGGGCAGTGCCCGCTGAAGAGGTGCCCAAACTAACCCGGCGGCCACAAGCGCTTTTGTTGGGTGCCACACGTGTCCCTGGGCCGGGATGGGGCCGGGGTCCCGTGTCCCTGTCACCCACCGGGGCAGGGCGAGGGGGAGCACCCCGGGGTGGCAGCTGCGCTCGGGTCTCTCATGAGAGCGGCTGTTTCACTTTACTTACAAAGACAGACCATCGACCATTTCAAGCAACCATGAAAACGGCCGCGAGGCAGAAACGTCGCAGGGCCAGCGTCTCGATCTGCAAGCAAAATAAAACACGCTATGATGAGAGAGCAGAGGGGACAGCTCTCCTGCCCTGCGTGGGTGCTCCTCACCACGGGCACGTGTGCCATGGGCAAAGCCACCAGATCAACCAGGGAGCGGGTCCCTGTGCCCCGCTGCAGCCACAGGGAGGGGTCAGGGGATGGGTGTGGGCTGCCTGATAAAGTCCCGACAGTTTAGGGACCAAATGAGGTCCCTCAAAGCCAAAAACAACCGAAATGTCGCAGTGTTCATGCCAAGCTGCTCCATGCCCTCAGCCTTGTGTCTCAAACCCTGCTCCAAGCTAAGCTGGGAAGGAGAGGCCGCTTGCACCCCTGGCCCTGCACCCCAAATCCTGCTGAGTGCTGAGCCATGGCAGAGAGGCTGCCTGCACCCCCAGCCCCGTATCCCCAACCCCTCTCTGTGCTGAGCAGTGACACAGAGGCCACCTGCACCCCCAGCCCCGTGTCCCCAACCTCTCTCTGTGTTGAGCAGTGACACAGAGGCTGCCCTGAACCCCTCTCTGTGCTGAGCAGTGACACAGAGGCCACCTGCACCCCTGGTCCTCCATCCCAGACCCAGCCACAGCTGGGCTGCCACATCAGCACAGGGCTGGGATCGACACCCAAACCCCCTCCAAGCACAGCCGAGCATGAGCTGATTTCTGGAGTCTGTTGGGGGGCTGCAGGTGTCAGGGGATGGATCTCGGGGGTTGTTTTGGGGTGTTTTTTTCCCCACTGGGTTTTTTTTGAGAAGAAACAGCTATGAGCAAACCCCTTGCGCATGCGTGTGCCCAGGAAAAGTCTCAGCAGACCTGGGGCAGCCGCTGGCAGTGGCCACTGCCACTGCTGCCAGGGACCAGCCTTGTCCCCTGCCTGCCTGGCTCCTGCACTGCACGTGCCAGGACGGTGACACCAGCACAGTGACAGACCCCCGGTGCAAACCCTGCGGGTGTGCCACGAGCCCTCGTGCCTCTGGTGCCACCGCCGCGTTGGGTGGCTGTCCCCAGTCCAACCACAGAGACTGAAACTCCCACCTGGAGCCCTGTGATGCCACTGTGCCACGCCAGGGCAGGGCAAGGAGGTCCCAGCCACTGTGGCCGGCCCTGCCACCACTGGGTGCCACACGCAGAGTGGCAGACGCATCCTCACGTGCGTGGGACCCGCCGCAGAGCCACCTCCGAGCCACAGGACCCCCAGACCCCCACCACCCTCTTTGCTGACTGACCAGCAGAAGAGCAGGATGTCCCCATCCCCAGGGACCTCCCAGGGCACTGCTGGCCACGGGCAGTGCCACGGTGCTGCCCGCAGGAACAGGTAACGTCACCCATGGCACCACCGGCGCTGTGCCAGGCGGAGCTGGGGGCACTGCCCGGCTGGCAGCCCGTGCCCGGCGGTACTCACCGGTGCTGGGCACGAAGGAGGGGTGGCGTGGGGCTCCCTGCGAGGCGGCGGGCGGCGGCGGGGGCATGGCGGGCGGCGAGGAGCGGGACTGAGTCTTCACGTCGGCCGGAGAGTCGGGCATGGCGGCGGGCACGGTCTCCGCGTTATCTGCGGGGAGAGGGCATGGCGTGGTGAGCCAGGGGTGCCAGGCAGGGCAAACAGGGCCTGGGGACCTTGGGCTGGCCTGGGTGTTGCTGGTGGCACTGTAGAACTCAGGTAACAGTGCCCGGTGTTCTGTGTGCCACAGGGTGGTGAGGGGGTGATGGACTCGCTGCTGATCTGCACAGAGGTGGGGACATGCCCCTGCCATGCCAGCCCTGCCCCTGTCACAGCACATCCTGGGAATCCCTGCTGACCCCTCACCATCCCTGGCAGCACACCCAGGACTGGCACAGCCCCTGGCAGAGACTGGCATCACTGCATTTAGTGACAGTGACAATAGCAGCACCCACACACCCACCAGGGACTGTCCCCCCCAGAGCCCAGCGGCCGGGCAAGGTCAGATCCTGCAATCCAGGGATCGTGGAGCTCTGACCATCACCCCAGCGGGCACCACCGCCCCCCTGCCAACCCCAAATAACTGCCAGCAGTGCATTCCATGTGGGACCCATCCCCTGCAGCACCTCCCCTGCAGCCACGGCCCTGGGGCAGGCTGTGTGACGGGTGGCCACAAGTGCTGGCAGCTGCAGGGATCTGTCACCCTGTGGGCTGCCCGTGGCTCTGGCCAAAGATGGGAGCGGCCACCACGGCCACCCCCAGCCATGGGGTCCCCCCTGTGCCCAGGCACGCTCCCACCTGGCCTGGCTGATCATCACTAATCCAACATTCATCCTTAACCCAGGTTAATTATGGGGAGATTAATTGAGCCTGGGCTGAGTAAAAGCAGGGCCTGATCCCCACGGAGATGCTCTCGGGGTTGTGCCACAACTGGCAGCACACAGAGCGCCAGGAGATAGTGGCAGGAGCCAAAAGCTCAGCTGGTCACCCACAGGATCCTGCTGGAAGGCTCCAGCACCACGGATATCCCTCTCTGCCCACAGCACACTGGAATGCTGCAGAGAGCAGGATGGGAACGCTGCAGTTCCCATTCCTCGCTCCCTTCTCCCTCCCCAGCCACAGGAGAAACCCCAAGACCATGCAGCTTCCCTCACCCCAAAACCTCAACTTTCCTGCACCCCTGCAATGGTCCTTTCCTGCACCCCTGCAATGGTCCTTTCCTGCACCCTTGGAATGGTCCCTGCCTTCACCCCTGCAATGGTCCCTGCCTGCATCCCCACCCCAGCTCCGGTCTCCCTGGCTGCCCTGGCTCCGTGCACATTCCCACACCAAGAGAAAACATGGATACATTCATCCTGGCACTGACATGGCTTTTCCACAGCTTCCCATCAGCAGGAAAGTTTCCATCAAGCTCAGCAAGCACTCAGGGAAATGGGGCCTGGTTCTGGTTTTTCTTCTATTTTCCTTTTTGCCTTTAAGTTTTAAATTTTCCCCGAGGTGTTTGCAACCCAAACACAGCCAGGCAGGCACAGGGATGGGATAAAGAGCTTGGAATGCCCAGAGCACCCAACCACGACTGTGCCACCCACCCAGGTCCTTTGGGAGACGGGGTGAGCTCCAGGAGAGCAAAGGAGGTTTTGGGGAGCAAAGTGCAGCCTCCCCTCAGCACCTTCCAACAGCGATTCCCCAGCACAACTCCAACTCCACTGGAATTATTTTTCCCTCTATTTTTTTCTCTCTTTGGGGTAATTTGTCCCAGCCGCTCGGGGCCGTGTCTGTTTTCCTCCATCTGGTTTCCATTAGGTCTGTGCAGCCCAGATGAATAAGTAATAATATAAAAATAAAAGGATTAGTATTTTCTCCTGGGCTGGCGGAGCGGCTGCTCCCCACCCTGCCCTGGGAGCCCCACACAGCCCCGTGCCACCCCAGCCCCTGTTTGTCACACTGTCATCACGGGGTGGGATTATCCGCAGGTGCTTTTATTGACAGCTCTGGGAGTCGGGTACAAACCCAAATCTGACTCTGACACAGCTTTGAGCTGAACGTATTTTATATTCTATCCCTGTATAACTTACTTATTAATTATTACACTTATATTGCTCTATTGTATACATTGACGTGAGTTTCTCGTGATCTTTCTTAGGTCCATGACCACAGTTTCACATGATTATTCTTTCTGATTAAACAGTAATTATATTTAATTACTAAACAGCCATCACATCTACCAATTTTCTATCAATTATCATGTACTAGCTACATAGTACAGTACTATTTGTCCATGTGCTAAAGGTATTTATCTTTCCAAGGCCTACTAAGCTTATTTTTCCTGTTAACCCCAAATCTCATGATTTCAAAACCCTTTTGCTATCAGGATGAGCGTGGAGCCCCCGGGCCGCTGCTCTGCTCTCCTTTCCCCGGGGTGACGAAGGGGTTAAAGGCAGTTCAGCGCTCAGCATCCTTCATGCTCTCCAAATGGCCACAAATGAAATCCAGATGCTGGAGGCGACGTCTCCCCAGGCCGGGCTGCCTCCGAAACAAAGGCAGGGAAGCGTTCCTGCTCCTCGTTCCTGCTCCTGCTCCTCGTTCCTGTTCCTGCTCCTCGTTCCTGCTCCTCGTTCCTGCTCCTCGTTCCTGTTCCTGCTCCTCATTCCTGTTCCTGCTCCTCATTCCTGTTCCTGCTCCTCGTTCCTGCTCCTCATTCCTGTTCCTGCTCCTCATTCCTGTTCCTGCTCCTCATTCCTGCTCCTCATTCCTGCTCCTCGTTCCTGTTCCTGCTCCTCATTCCTGTTCCTAGTTCCTGTTCCTGCTCCTCATTTCTGTTCCTGCTCCTCGTTCCTGCTCCTCGTTCCTGCTCCTCGTTCCTGCTCCTCGTTCCTGCTCCTCGTTCCTGTTCCTGCTCCTCGTTCCTGCTCCTCATTCCTGTTCCTGCTCCTCATTCCTGTTCCTGCTCCTCATTCCTGCTCCTCATTCCTGCTCCTCGTTCCTGTTCCTGCTCCTCATTCCTGTTCCTAGTTCCTGTTCCTGCTCCTCATTTCTGTTCCTGCTCCTCGTTCCTGCTCCTCGTTCCTGTTCCTGCTCCTCGTTCCTGTTCCTGCTCCTCATTCCTGTTCCTGCTCCTCGTTCCTGCTCCTCGTTCCTGCTCCTGCTCCTCGTTCCTGCTCCTCGTTCCTGTTCCTGCTCCTCGTTCCTGCTCCTCATTCCTGTTCCTGTTCCTGCTCCTCGTTCCTGTTCCTCGTTCCTGCTCCTCGTTCCTGCTCCTCATTCCTGTTCCTGTTCCTGCTCCTCGTTCCTGTTCCTCGTTCCTGCTCCTCGTTCCTGCTCCTCGTTCCTGTTCCTCATTCCTGCTCCTCATTCCTGTTCCTGCTCCTCGTTCCTGTTCCTCTTTCCTGCTCCTCCAGTGTGGCCAGCAACAACTCCCCGAGGAGATGGATGAGATGGATGACATGGATGACATGGATGGGATGGATGACATGGATGACATGGATGACATGGATGACATGGATGACATGGCAGGGCCGGGGCTGTCCCAGCTGGAGCAGCTTTGGGAACATGTGGGGCCTGAGGCCGGGCAGCAGCGACATGTCTAAATCTGGTGCCCAAATCTCAGTGTCCAAATCTCTGTGCCCAAATCTCCATGCCCAAATCTCCATGCCTAAATCTCAGTGCCCAATTCTCAGTGTCCAAATCTCAGTGCCCATATCTCAATGCCCAAATCTCAGTGCCCAAATCTCAGTGCCCAAATCTTCGTGCCCAAATCTCCGTGCCTAAATCTCAGTGCCCAAGTCTCAGTGCCCAAATCTCAGTGCACCATCAGCTCCTTCCTCCCCTGCACGCATCCTGACCCCCTCCCTGGGGCCCTGGTGACAAAGGTGACAAAGGTGACAAAGGTGACAAAGGTGACAAAGGTGACAAAGGTGACAAAGGTGACCCCAGGCAGCCTGGAGTTCATCCCCAGCTGCACTTGGAGCGTGAGAAAGCAGGAGTGCAGCTGGGGATGCTGACAGAAGGTGGGTTTAGGTGGGATATTGGGAAGGAATCCTTCCCTGGGAGGGAGGTGAGGCCCTGGCACAGGTGCCCAGAGCAGCTGTGGCTGCCCCTGGATCCCTGGCAGTGCCCAAGGCCAGGCTGGACAGGGTTTGGGCACTCTGGGACGGTGGGAGGTGTCCCTGCCCATGGCAGGGCAGTGAGGTGAGCTTTAAGGCCCCTCTCCATTCAAACCATCCCACAATCCCATGATGATGCTGGAGGGACGCTGCCCATCCATCACTGGGGTGTTCCAGGTGCTCATTTTGGGGAGCCAGCCCAGCAGGGAGCAATCCACACCCAGCACCCATCAGCAGAAATTAACTCTTCAAGAGTAAATCCAATTAATCAAAGCCTCTGCACAATCTGTAAAGGAGCCCAGATTCAGCCAGCTCCGCTCCTGGGGAGCCCCTGCAGCTCATCCCCACCTCCCACCAGCACAATCCCACATTTCCCCAGCTCAGGTGCTCCCAGCTGGCACCCACACCCTGCAGTGCCACGGGCATCTCCAGGCCACCAACTCCTGGCAGGTGCCAAGCCCCGTGTGGCAGTGACAGCACAGCTCCCCACGGGACAGCAGCACCCACAGCCAGGCTCTCCACGCACCCCAAACCCCCCAAATCCCAGTTTGCAAACCAAAACCGTGCACCCAGGGGCACAAACCAGCTGGCTCGGTGCCACCAAGGCAGTGCCAGCAGCTCCTGCCCGCCCCGAGCTGGCCTGGCCGGGGGTGGGGGATGGGGACGGGTTTGATTTTTCCTCGAAACAACAACAAAAAAAAAGCCAAAAAAAAAAAAAAAGTGCCCTCTCTGTTTTACAAGCCTTCATTTGCTATTGTTTATGTAAACAGGTAAATTGTTTCGTATCTCAATTAAAAACATCTGCCACATAAATGAATACCAATTAACTCATCCTGTTTTTAATTACTCTGTTAATTACACACAGGCAGCAAAAAGGATGGCAGGGGAATAGGGAAAGCATGCTCACACCCCCCTTCCCACCTTGCTCTTGGCAAGGATCCGAAATGTGCCCGGGGAATGATGGATTAAGGTGAAAACCGCGGCTCGTGGCCAGCTCCGGCGGGGCGGTTCCCTCCTGGGGAGCCTCGCGGGGGTTTCCCGGGACCCTCGGGAGAGATTTTGGAACCTCAAGCCCCACGGGACGCCCCAAAGCCGCCCGCATCCCCCTCCCCCCGGTGCCAACCCCGCGGGCACTCCCGGTGCCAGCCCCGCGCTCCTTCTCCAAACGCGCCCAGGGGAGAAAGCCAAACTTTGGGATGGCGAGAGGAGCCAGGAGGAGCATCCTCATGGACCCAGCGCATCCTCCTGCTGCCCCCGGAGCCCTCCCGGCACCCAGGGGTGGCCCCAGGGCTGCGCGGGGTGGGTGCCATCCCCGGCGAGGGACCCCGACCCCCCCCCGGCTGCGGGAAGCTTTCCAAGCGAGCAGATGGGGCAGGGAGCGGCGGCGGGAGGAGGAGGAGAGCAGAAAAGGCTATTTTCTCACGCTACATATTTTACAAGTCGAACATTTTGTGCGTTTCAGCCCTGCCTGTAAAAGCATCTCGGCCCCGGGACTCGGCAGCGGAGCCTGTGAGTCAACAGCGGCTGGCGGCGACGTGGCTGCTGGCTTGGGGACAGGCTGGGAGGAGGGGTCCCCCACACACAGGGACACTTTGGGGGGTCCCCCCGACCTATCAGCCAGGGCACAAATCTGCTGCAGCGTCGTGCCCGCTGCCACCGCCGGATTCACCCCAGCGGGGTGGCACAGGGAGGTGGGTGGGCACACACACACCCACCCTGCTGCTCCCCAGCTGCCTGACACTCCTGGAAATTAAATAAATTAAATATCCTGCCTAAACACCGGGAGTAAATAAACAGTGCTGCCCAGAACGGGCTGGGGCTGCGCCATCCCCCAGGGCACCGCCAAAGGGGCACCCCAAAACCGGCCCCGGGCATTTCTGCAGCCGTGGGCACGGGGGTGATCGTGGTTGGGGCAGGGACAAGCGGCACCGCAGCGGCTTCGGGGCATCCTGGAGGCAGAAGCGGCCGGAGAAGGGAAAACTCCCCCTGGCACACCACCGGAGCTCCCAGTGAGCTCCCCGCAGCGTGGGAACCCCGAGGAACCGCCGGGACCCCGGGCGGACCCTGCCCCGCCAGGCCGGTACCGGCTCCGGGGGGTCCCGGTACCGCCTCCGGGGGGTGCCGGTACCGCCTCCGGGGGGTGCCGGTACCGCCTCCGGGGGGTGCCGGTACCGGCCGTGCTCTCCCACATCCTCCCGGCTGTTGCCTCACCGACTCTTTTGTCTATTTTTGAACGGCCGGCTCAATTTCAAGGCGATTTTGCCCGTGTGAAATCGAATCAAAGAACGCAGGAAAAAAAAAAAATATTAATGAGAATTTTGCAAAATAAACAGGAAATCCCTGGGATGTTTTCTGGAACCGTAGGTCGGCATCTTCCGAAGGAAAGTTGGGGGTTTGTCAAGGTGGGGTTCCCCCTGGGGAGCCTGAGCACGGTGGGAGGGTGGCAGAAAACAGCTTCAGGAAATCTAAAAATAACCCCAAACCGGACAATGGCACTAAGGCCAGGGCAGGCGGGCAGGGGATGCCCTCTGTGCCACCAGCACTCCTGTGCTTCCCATCCTGAATCCATCTCCCACGGGAGATCCAGCTTGGAGAGCAGAGCTTGGGCTGCAGCTCCTGCAGCTCAGAGAGCAGAGGCCGGGCTGCAGCTCCTGCAGCTCAGAGAGCAGAGGCCGGGCTGCAGCTCCTGCAGTTTGCAGAGCAGAGGCCAGGCTGCAACTCCTGCAGCTCAGAGAGCAGAGGCCGGGCTGCAGCTCCTGCAGCTCCGAGCTGCAGCCCCAAGCGCATCCCCGGCCCCAGCAGCAGCACTCAAACCCAGCTGAGCCCCACGGGCTGTCCCTGGTCCCTCCCAGCCCCGTTTGGTCTGCCCAAACCTTGTGCTGCTCGGGCTGGGGGCTGAGGAGGGTCAGTGCTGCTGGGGGGGATTTGTGTGTCCCCCCAGGAGGGACCCAGCTCCTGCCCCACTGCCAGCCTTCCGCTTGACTCGCTGCCACCCCACTGACTCCCAGCAGGAGGTGAAAGATTTATGGGGTGCCTCTCCTCCCCGGGGGTCCCACAGCACCTTCCCCAGGTGGCTGCAGGACAGGGGGTCGGACACAACCTCGGGCAGAGCAGAGCCAGACCCCGTTCCCACAGCACCGGGGACACCACAGGAGCCTCAGTGCCCGATCCTGCCCGGGGTTTTTCTGCACACAAACATCCACGGCTCCAAAGCAGAATTCCAGGAAGGTCAGCAGGGACCGGCCAGCCCCAGGTACCCCACAGGACCTGCCAAAACCCCCTCCTGCCTGCAGCAGCACAGCTCTGGAGGGGGCTGAGCACCAGAATATTTTTCCATGCTGCAGCCTGGAAGTTCCCGATGTAAAAGGCAAATCCTGCAGCCACGGGAGGCCCAAACCCAACACCCAGCCCACGGCAGCACCCAGAGCCACGGGAGAACAGCCTCTCCCCCACCACCTCCTGCCTTTTCCCCGCTCCAAACCAACATCTGCGCTCACGTTTTCCAAACAAAACACACCCAACATCTGTCTGCTCCCGGGTGAAACCTTACCTGCCAGCACGGCAGGGAAAACCCCCTTGGCACAGCCAAGTTCACCTCCGCTCACCTCCCCAAGCACGAAATCTCTCCCTGTGTGCAAACTCTCCGCACGGGGAGCTGCCTGACAAACCTCCGAGGATCCAAGAGCCCACCCCGGGGGGCAGCTCAGCTCCGTGGGGCTCCTCACCCGAGGGCCGCGGCTGTCAGCATCCTCCGCGGCTGCTGCTCCGTGTTTGCCGTGGCGTTTCGGGCTGTTTCCCCCGTCTCTCCATGCCCCGTTCCGCGGCACAGCTCACCCCACCGCCGCGCCGAGCTGCCGGGGCTTCGCAGAGTGTCTTCAAGTCGCTCGACAAAGGAGCAGGGAATTAATATTCCTTTTAATTAAAGGCAGAAAAATCTCTTTGTTCCTGAACAGAGAGAAAACAACAGAGGGAAGAGCTCAAAAGCTCTTCCTAAGCTGGAGACGAGACCATCGCTTGGAATCAAAGACGCTGTCAACGCACACGTGACGTGGAATTAAAAAAACCAAAATGAAAAACGCAGCAGCGGCAGTGGCTCCTCTCCGACAGCGAAGGAAAGTTGCAAAGTTTTTCTTGGCTAATAGAGGGAAAAAAAATAATTCCAAGAAAAGGTGTGTTTAACTAGAGAAAACGCTCTGCGGTATCCGAAGGCACCATCCAGCGGCGAGGGAATGACGGAAGAGCTGCGAGTGCTCCGGCTCGGTGTGGCGGAGGAGCGGCGGAGGAGCGGCGGAGGAGCGGCGGAGGAGCCGCGGAGGAGCTCCATCGCCCCGCCGGCAGCGCTCCCGTGGCAAAGCGGGGCCCAGCGCAATTCCAAAGGAAGGCGAGAGCAGGCGGTGATGAACGGCAGCGCTGGAGGCTCCCGAGCCAACCCTCCTTCCCAAATCCTCATCCCGACAAACACCGCCCGGCACACGGCAGGACCCCGCCAGCGCCCCCGGCACGGCCCCGCGTCCTGGCACAAAACCACAGAACCGAGCGGGCTGGAACGTCCCGCAGCAGCCCCGGGATCCTCCCGCAAGCTCCCCCGAGCGGCTCAGCCCCTCCTGGCCACCCGGCCCGGCCCCAGCCCCAAGCCCGCAGAGCGGGATGCGGAGCTGGCGGCACAGAGGAGCGGCGCGGCGATGACAAAGAGCCGGACCGCCGGGCACGGCTCGGGAGCCAAACCGGGGGGGTGCTGGGGGTGGGCACAAGCTCGCGTGGGTTCCCGGGGACGCCGTGCCGCCCCACGCCGCCCCGGCTCTCGGGAACAGCAGGAAGCGCTTTGGGAAGAGGGGTCTGCGCTCCGCCGCCCCCACGGCACCGCGCTGCGTGGGAGCGGGGCCCACGGGCGCGGCGATCCCGCTCCGGGGCTGCCTCCGCCGCGGAGCCGCTCCGAGCGCTGCGCCCGCTCGCCCCGGTTGTGCCCCCGCTCGCCCTGCCCCGCTCCGCCGCCGTGGCGGGGACCGCGCCGGCTCGGGCGCACGGAGCATCACCGTCCCCTGCGCACCGCGAGCATCCCCCGGACACCGGGAGGCTCCCACTGCCCTGCGCACCGGGAGCGTTCCCCGGGCACCGGGAGCTTCCCCCGGGCACCGGGAGCCTCTTACTGCCCTGCGCACCCGCAGCTCCCCCGACACCGGGAGCTTCCCCGGGCACCGGGAGCATCTCGGACTCCCGCGCAAGGAGCGTCCCCCGGGCACCGGGAGCCTCCCCGGGCACCGGGAGCCTCCCCGACTCCGTCGCGCCCGGAGCACCCCCCGAGCATCAGGAGCATTCCCAGCCCCTTTTCCACGGGAGCCTCCCCGGGCACCGGGAGCCTCCGATTCCCCCGCGCACCGAGAGCACCCCCCGAGCACATCCCCCTCGGAGAATTCCAAGCCCCGCTCTCCCGGGAGCCTCAGCGGGCACCGGCAGCCTCCCCGGCCCCGTCCCGGTTGGCGAACGGCACTTACCGTCCTGAGGTGCGGCGGAGGCGTGAGGTAAGTCCCAAGGCAGGGGCCGGCGGCGCCGGTAGGAGCGGGCAGAGCCGGTAGCGGCCCCCGGCGGCGGCGGCCCCGGCCCGCTTAAGGCCGGCGCTGGCGGAGCGCGGCCCCGCGGCGGCGGCTGCCCCCGGCACCTGCCCGCCGCCGCTCGCCGCGCCCGGGGCCGCCGCTCGCCGCCAGCTCCGGGGCTCGGGGCGCTTCCCCTCCCCCCGGAGGAGCGGGGGAGGGCGGAGAAGCCGCGGTAAATCCGCGGGGCCGCTTCACCCCCTGCGCGCTGCCCGGCGGCGCATCCTCCCGGCGCCGCGCCGGGGCCGTGGGGCGCCCGCGGCCGCGCTCCGTGCCCGGCCGGGCCCCGCCGCGCCGCCGCTGCCGCCGCGCCGCCCGCCCGGCCCGGAGTGAGCGGGGCCCGCCCGCGCCGCTGCCTTAGAGCGGGGCCGCCGCGCCCGCCAGGGGGAGCCCCCCGCCGCCACCGCCGCCGCCGCAGCAGCAACGGGACCCCCGGGACGGGAACGGGAGGGGAGAGGGATGGGAACGGGATGGGATGGACGGGGATGGGGAACGGGAACGGGCGGCACCGGGACGGGAACGGGAGGGGAACGGGACGGGGTGGGATGGACGGGGATGGGGAACGGGAACGGGATGGGATGGACGGGGACAGGGAACGGGAACGGGAACGGGATGGGATGGACGGGGACAGGGGACGGGAACGGGATGGGATGGACGGGGATGGGGAACGGGAACGGGAACGGGATGGGATGGACGGGGACAGGGAACGGGAACGGGATGGGATGGACGGGGACAGGGAACGGGAACGGGATGGGATGGGATGGACGGGGATGGGGAACGGGGACGGGAACGGGAGGGGAGAGGGACGGGATGGACGGGGACAGGGAACGGGAACGGGCAGCACCGGGACGGGAACGGGAACGGGAACGGGAACGGGACGGGATGGACGGGGACGGGGAACAGGAACGGGATGGGATGGATGGGGAAAGGGAACGGGAACGGGCGGCACCGGGACGGGAACGGGAACGGGACGGGATGGATGGGGAGAGGGAATGGGAATGGGTGGCACCGGGATGGGAACGGGAACGGGATGGGATGGAGGGGGAGAGGGAACGGGAACGGGAACGGGAACGGGAACGGGATGGACGGGGACAGGGAACGGGAACGGGCGGCACCGGGACGGGAACGGGAATGGGAACGGCACCGGGACAGGAACGGGAACGGGAGGGGAGCGGGATGGGATGGACGGGGAGAGGGAACGGGAACGGGCGGCACCGGGACGGGAACGGGAACGGGATGGGATGGACGGGGACAGGGAACAGGAACGGGCAGCACCGGGACGGGAACGGGAACGGGATGGGATGGACGGGGACAGGGAACAGGAACGGGCAGCACCGGGACGGGAACGGGATAGACAGGGACAGGGAACTGGATGGATGGGGACACAGACCTGGGCAGCACTGGAACGGGAACGGGATGGGATGGGATGGATGGAGACAGGGAACGGTAACGGGCAGCACCAGGACGGGAACGGGATGGGATGGGATGGGATGGATGGGGACAGGGAACGGGAACGAGCAGCACCGGGACGGGAACGGGACGGGACGGACGGGACACGGGGTGCCCAGGGCTTTGGGGCTGAACGGGACCTGGTGACACTCTGGGGACAGCGGCGTGCAGGGCCTGGAGGCTGCAGGGATTTGGGTTTGCAAAATCCAAAGATCGGGGGTGCAAAGCTGAGAGTGGGGGGCTGCATGGGGGGCTGGGTGACACCTTTTGGGGAGCTGCAAGGAGCTGGGTGGGAGTTGTTCTGGGGAGGTGGAGGGACTGCAGGGAACGGGCCAGGACTTGTCTGGGGCCATGGGAAGAGTCAAGGGGGTGGAGCAGGGTGGGTGGGGGGGCTGCAAGGGGATGGGGGGCTGCAGGGGGATGGGGCTGTGCTTGCTCAGCCTCCCTCCCCAGGGGCCCAAGGGCTGGGGGTGCACTGGAGCAGCCCCAAGACCCCAGGCAGAGCCCCCAGAGTCCCACTGCCCATCCTGGCCTGGCCTTGGGGTGGCCCCAAGGGCAGCTGCGTGCTGGGAATGCCAGTGGGACCCTCCTGATGGGCACATCTGGCTGCCTGGCACACATCTGGCTGCCTGGCACACATCTGGCTGCCTGGCACACCCTTCCCACCACAGCATTCAAATTTTCCCTCCCCAAGTCCCACCACAAGGCTGCTGCTCCTGGGCACTGGGAGCACAATCCCTGCCCTCCATGTTTCACTGTGGTGTTGGCATTTTTCTGTTGGTTCAGGCTGGGGACACACTGTCCAACGTAGGTGACAGATATTGGCACGTTATTGTAAATCCAGCACAGGTAGTTTGTGGTATTTAATGTTTGTACCATCCCACTGAGGGCAGAGCCCCACACGCTGCCCTGCAGGACAGAGCTGCGGCAGGGCAGCAGAACATGTTAGAGATAAACAGAATAAACAACCTTGAAACCAGCACAGACCACCCCGTGTCACCCAGCCAAGTGCAGACCTGGGGCACAGCACAAACCTGTCAGTGCCCAGCTGGTGCCATGCCACCAGCCTGGCCATGACCAAACCCGTCCCCTCTGACCTGCCAACCCCCGAGCACGTCCCAGGGACCTGCAGGGAACTGTCACCCCATCGAACACCCCCTGCCCTGGCACCTCGTGCCCCAGGAGCCCCTCCAGCACCGTGGGGACGGGCAGGTGGCACTGCCACCCTGCAGGACCCCAGGGGGGGACAGAGCCACCGTGTCCCCCCTCCCCCGGCGGCGTTTGGGTGGCAGGGGCTGCTGCGTTCCCATTCCGCGCACGCAGCCTGTAATTTTGGTCTATTGAAGTCATAATTCACTACTGTGAAAATAAACATTTGTGTTAGCTCGCTTTATTCGGCTGAATGGCAATAATTCCCCGCCGGCGGCTCTGCACGTGGCCCGGGACGCTGGGACAAAGCCGGGGCACCCCTGGGCAAAGCCGGGGCACCCCTGGGCACCCCCTGGCAGGCTTTGGGCGAGTTCCCACCCTCCTTTGTACCCTATCCCTGGGATCCCCTGCATCCCCAAGGAACCGGGAAAGGAAAGAATACATTATCACTTTGTACTAATCCGGTGATAATGAGGAAGATAAAGGTAATTTTTAGACAATATTTGGAGTCCAGCACCTACTCAGACCCTTCCCTACCCATCCCTGTTGGTTTGGACCCTTGTGCTGGTTTGTGGATGTTCCCCCCACGCCAGAGACACCCCAGCGCCCACCCAGTGCCATGGCCTGCAGGAGACCGCCTGGGCCACCCGGCTGTCCCCAGGGCTGTCCCCGGGGCTGTCCCCGGGCTGTCCCCAGGGCTGTCCCCAGTCTCTCCCTGCTGGGTGCAAGGGGCCGCTGCTTCCCTCGGCATTTGCATCTTCCCAGCCTTTATCTTCCTCCCGGTCTCTGTATTGCTGCAATTACAGACACTTTAAAACACAATGATCTGGCTGTTAGCGTGATGGATGACAGAACCTTTCTGTCTGGTTTAAATCATTGCCGAGAGTGAGCAAACTTCCCCGGCTTAACCCTTTCCTGCCCCAAGCCCGCTCCCAGCCAGGGGCTGCTGCGAGCTCCGTGGCCACCCACCCATGGGTCCCATGGGTGGGATAAGGGGGGTCTGACATTCCTAGAAAACATTCCCCCATCCCTCAGCGCTCTGTGCTGTGGGGGCTCCCCGGGTGCGATGGGAGCAGCCCGGCCCGGCAGAGCCGCTGGTCCCGCAGGGCTGCGGTGGGAAAGGAGCGGCTGGAGCGGAGCTCAGCGCCCACAGAGCCCGGGGGGACCCATCCCCGGCCCGGGCTGGGCATCCTACCCCTGGCACAGCTGGCACCGGGGCCCTGCGGGAACCCAGGGCTTCCCTCTGGACAGAGCCCCCAGAGACACTGGCTGTGATCTCTGCCCATGGAAAAGAGTTTTCAATCTTACAGCATGAATTACAAGCTCTGAGTGTTTGATATAAGCAATAATTAATTGTGGCACGGGTGCAAAAGTAAAATTTTAGGATTCTAGATTAGGGGTCCAAAGGGGACAAGATGCAGGAAATTGGGTGTGCCTTGTCCTTTTTCTCCTTCTTCATGCCCTCCATGTTTCACTGTGGTGTTGGCATTTTTCTGTTGGTTCAGGCTGGGGACACACTGTCCAACGTAGGTGACAGATATTGGCACGTTATTGTAAATCCAGCACAGGTAGTTTGTGGTATTTAATGTTTGTACCATCCCACTGAGGGCAGAGCCCCACACGCTGCCCTGCAGGACAGAGCTGCGGCAGGGCAGCAGAACATGTTAGAGATAAACAGAATAATCAACCTTGAAACCAGCACAGACCAATTATGACTTCTGCTTTGAGCTACTCCAGTCTAGGCCTCAGATTTGGGCCTTGTGAGGCCTTCAAGCCTCTGACGCAGTTAGAAATTAAGAGTTTGTGGCGCAGATAGAAATAGTATTAAGGTGTGATGGGGACCACTGGGCTGTCTGGGTGTGAATTAGTATAGTTTTATAGTGTAAGGTTTAGGCCATTTTAAGGAAAAGGTAAACAATGTTAGCTTGCCAATCAGAGTGCCTTTGTTTTTGTAAACTCTGTAGAAGCTGATATAAACTACCATCTTATCTGGAATAAAGGGAGAACGTTTGATTAACCACATTGGTTCAGATCTGCGTTTGTCCTGTCCAGTTTCCCGTTTTTCTGACATTCCCTGGCTTTTGCCCCCGGTGCTGGTTTATCACACCTCGCCCCTGGCCAGGCTGGTGCCCAGCCCTGTCCCTCCCGGGCACCTCCTGGTGCTGCCCATGCCCGTTCTCACAGGACGGTGTCTGCAGGCGTGGGCACCGAGCCGTGCCCGTGCTCAGCCCCGGCGTGCCGCGGGTTTCCTGTGCCACCCCCAGCGGCTCTGTCTGTCTGTCTGTCTGCCCATCTGGGTTTCTCAGTCTCTATCCGTTCCCTCCCGGGGAGCAGAGCATCCCTGGGTACCTCTCTGAGTCCCTGCGGGACGTGGCACTGCCAGCGGTGACACCGCGTGGCCGAGTGCCCACGAGCTGCAGTG